TCCCCACCTTCATATGCTTTTCCCTTTTTTGACTTCTGGACGTATCTTAAAATTCTCAGCAATTCCTTGCCCTGCTTTAATTTCAGACCCACTGTTCTGTTTTTTATCCACTTCTGTGGCCTAGTTCTTACCCTCCAGTTTCAAGCTAAGCTCCTGTACTCTTTGCATACTTCAGGATGGTGTTTTTGATTGCAAATTGAATGACATTTTCCATTCATATACCATGTGTATGGTAATGTAAAGAAATAAATGTTCAGAACAGACAAGGCCAACACCTTGCTAAACACTAGTATTTACTTCTTGATATTGAAACTGCATCTATCTGCAGTTCAGAACACTCAAAAGAGATTTTATAAGTTGCTGAATGGGAATTGTACAAATGATGTGTTTGCACTAGCAGAGAGGCTTCACCAAGTTTCCAAACTGCAGACCTAATCATAGAATGGCTTAAATGGGAAACTGCCTTCAGAGACTAAGGAGCAAATGAGAGCAGGGAATATATACAGACATTTTTCTTAGGATGCAGGCACTCAATCCCATCATACAAGATTTTGAGCAGTGGGTGCTGATAAAATTATTGGTCCTTAGGAATATTTATCATCACAAGAGATACCAGTTAGAAATGATTATTAATGATTATTAATGATACTCCATCATTTAGCTGTAGTTGCTGACATGTATGTGTACATAAATGATCTCTAAGAATAGTCTGTGTGTCTTTTTTCCTCCCCTTTTTGAGTGTCTCAATTCGTGGAAACTAGGTATCAAACACAAGTAGCTACTTTTTAAGTGGCAAATGTTTTCCATTCCCTCTTACAGCAATTACAATGGCTATGAGCAGAGTTTTAGAGCAAAGACCACCTGGAGAACTTGGTACTGAACATACCAGATGAAGATCTGTCACTGGGTCACATATCCCTGCACAAACTAGGAACCCTCCCTTAATGCTTTACTTTAGTGGATCCAGAGATAAAGAGATGATATTTTGGAGGAGACAGAAATAAGAGAAAACGTTATCGGGAACAGTGAGATTGCCTCCTAAGGATCTGATGGATCAAGATTAACAAAATAAATAACTGAGAAGGTCTTTGTTTAGAACATTGACAGCAGCATTTTTGTGTAAACTGACAAGCCCATTTACATGCCAGGACAAGAAGGTAATTCTGAGTACACATGTAAGCTGTGGCAGCATTTGTGGAGATGCTCCCTGCAGTGTGCAGATCATTGTATGTGCCCGCTAAGATAATATAGTCTTTCATGTGATTTCCCAGCAGGTATAGTAATTACATTGGTCCAGGATTTTAGCAAAGAAATCACACTTGATTAATAGTTCATATTTCTACCATTACTTCAGGCTTATTCCTGAAAAAAATAAAATAAAATAAAATTGTACCAACCAACTCTACAGCTACCTTGATGCAGACTTGTCAGGTCTATAATCATTGGTTTTAAGTCATCGCCAGGAAACTCTATCCTGGACATTCTCCAAGACCTTTCAAAGATGATAGAGAGCAGGTTGGCAATCATTTCTGCCAGCTTCCTCAGCACTCATGGGTGCCTCCTGTCAGGACCCAAGGATTTGTGTCCATTTTGCTTAGATGAGCTCTGATCAGATCCTTCTTAACCAAGGGTAAGCCATATTTTCTCCAGACTCTCTTACCTCCAGGGTATGGGGTTTCCTGTGATTTCTCAGCCTTATAAGTAAAGACTTAAGCAGAGAAGGTATTCATCATCTCCATCTTCTCAGCATCCTCTGTTACCAGGACACTCACCTCATTAAGCAGCAGAACAATATTTTTCCTTGTCCTCCTTTTTCTGTTGACATATTTTAAAAAAGCTTTACTTGTTGTTCTTGACCAGGTTAAATTAAACCAGGTATAATTTATACACCAGGTTTAATTCCAAAGGTGCCTTAGCTTTCCTCGTTGTGTCCCTGCAGGCTCTGATAGTATTGCTATATTCCTCCCAAGTGACCAGGCCTTTTTTCCACATTTTGTAAACTTTCTTCTCTTTGAGTTTATCCATGAGCTCCTTGTTCATGTATGCAGATCTCCTGCCATTTTTTACTCTTGATTTTTTACTCTTAGGATGCACCAATCTTGAGCTTGGAAAAGTTGACCAAAACTTCTCTTAACATTTGTAATTCTCCTGATGTCTACATCTGACAAATAAGTTGGACTGCCATGACCCCTTCTTTTCCATCTGTGCATTTGTTTTAAGCGTCTTTGTGAATCTGACCATGAGATCATCCCTCTATTCAATTTCAGGATCAGCCACATGTTTTCCTTTCCCCAGGAAATCCATTCATAAAGCAAGTCACATCCCCCTCAGCCTGCTCCATAAGCCCTGAATGTAAGACCTATTCCAGAGTAAGTCCAATTTAATTTGCTCTGTGTGATTTGGGGACTCTTTTTTGGGACCCAGTACTCCAGTTTGTGAGAGATAAATACTTCTGGAGAAAATGGCTGTTTGGCCTTGAGCATTAGAGTTGTCTGCTTGGACCCAGTTCTGAGTCACTGTGCAGCTCTGAGGAAGGCCTTTTATTTTTATTGTTTGTGCCTATATTGTCCTTATGTGGAATGGTTTGGGTAGAGGGGGGAGCTGCAGGGGTGGCCCCTGTGAGCAAAGCCCATCAGCTTCCCCACATCAGATTAGAGCCCGCTCTTGCTGGCCAGAGCTGGCTGCACCTTCATTTCCCATTCCTCTGTGCTGCTCAGGAGGAAGATGTAGAAGGGGATGGGTGGGAGGGGGGAGATAATATTATTAGCTTGCTTTTAGTTCTCACTGCTCTAGTCTATTTTTAGCAGCAGGCATTACATTAATCTCACTTATGCTTGAATCTATTTTGTCTATGATGGTAACAGGTGAATGATCTTCCTCTTCTTACCTCAACACATGACCTTTTTTTCCATTGTATTTTTCCCCATCTTTCTGAGGAGAGGAAGTGAGAATGAGAGTGAGAATGTGCTGTGGTGGAGCTTAGCTACCTGCCAATGTGAAACCACCACAATGCCTCTGTTTCTTCAAAGTCTATGTAGTTCATCTGTCTTCTCTTTGGCATTGTAAATCTTAAAAAAACACAGATGTAAGTTCTACAGTTATTCAGTTAATCTAAATACTGGTATTTCTCCTCTGGTGGTTGTTTTTTTTTCTTTCCCTGTTTATTATTATTATTATTATTATTATTATTATTATTATTATTATTATTTTAATGGCCATCCCTCTTCTTCTATGCTAGGATCTGCTTTCCTTTCAGGGGCTCAGGAGAGAAGCAAGTTCAAGTCAGTGTCTCTGATACTGTTCGAGAATTAAAAGTCAACATTGTAAATTTCAGGCAGTGATGATTTTGGGATGTCTCCCACAGTAATGCCCATGTAAAAGGTTGCTCTCCATTTTGTTTTGAGCTCTTTTTAAGTAATGAAAAAAGACTTCTGCATTTGTCTTCAAATTGCAGTTCTTTGGATGGTCTCAATGTAGAAGCCAAGCAGTGAGAAAAACATGGAACAATTTACTGTATGTTACCTTCAGGCTTTCTGACCCTGCCAGTTTCTGCTCCTTTTGATGTGTTTGTCCAGGTGTGCTGTCAGTTCCATGCCTGGCTGTAGTGTAGTGGACAAATTCTACTGTCAAAGCAGCAGAAAGTGCTTCACCTTGGTATTAGACACAAATTCTTCTGAGGACTCCCTAGTGAGGTTGCATAAACATGGCCTCTGGCCTCACAGGTTTTACAAACCCTGCAAGGATTGTGAAAAATTCTTGATGCAAAAGTGTATTTTACTGTCGGAATACAACGCTATCAAATTCTTTTGTCTTCAAAGAAAATGCTACACTGTAGGTATAGATGATGTGTGTGTGTAAGAAGTGAGCTTGGAATGTCAGTGATCTGGATATTGTGTTTGTGGTTGCAAATGAAAGGATGCAACAATGCAAGAGGCCCCAAGCCTGTTTGAAGATGATGATGAGTACAGAGGAAACTGAAGAGTGATTCAGTTTCTTTGATAGCTGATTCTGTAGTACTGACTCTGTAACAGATGTAGTTCTTTAAAGAAAATGATAGAATCAAATTCATAGAATGATTTGAGTTGGAAGAGACCTTAAAGACTATCTAGTTCCAAATCCCCTTGCCATGGGCAGGGTCTGGCTCCAAGTCCCATAATACCTAGCCTTGAATCCTCCCAGGAATGGGTCAATGATAAGTTTCTATTCTCTGCTCAGTCTCCTGCCAAAGTAGTATGCAAGACATCTGTGCTTTCCCAGTGCTCTTCTCATAGAGACCATTAATATTATTGCCTCTGTAATTTCTTAAATTAATCATATTAATTATTAGTATTACTATAATGTTAAATTAATTAGATTAATACACTGGAGTGATTTACAAGGTACCATCGCACCTGGTTCTTATTGTGAACCATGAGTTTTCTTCCTTGATCATATGCTTGGCCTTTACTACCTTTTTGCTTTTCCCTTCTATTTTTTATTCTGGTAATCTATGGAGGGCAGGTGTCAGGGTTAGCGTTGCTACTATGTATGTCCCTTGCTCTAGATGAATATAGTGTATTTTCGTGAAGGATAGATCCTTTCCAGAACTAGAAACTGTGTACAATCTTGCTACTCTCTGCATTTCAGAGACTTTGGTCATGTCTGTGCAGACATCAGTCACTTCCTTCAATACATGTCCTTCAAATGTATGTTGCTGTGACCAAGAGCCAGATTTGCCTAAGTCAAGAAAGGAACAGAGAATGCACCTGAGCAAACACTGTAGGAGGAACACGATGGGACAGGGTCAGAAAGCTCTCCCCAGTGCTGGCTTTTGGACAGCTCCTGTCAGAAGTCTGCCAACATGTGACCCTCTCTGGCTATGATTTGCTGTTTTGTGGCAGACACGACTGATGTTTATTAAAATGCCAGATTTTTGCCAAAGGGTGATTTTAAAAGTTTATCTGCTGTTCTCAGTGGAATAACCTTCCTTCACAAGGATGGAGATAATAAGTTCGTTGAAACAGAAAAGATGATAGTCTTTCTTGCCTAGGAACCTAGCACTCATTTAGGCTGTCTGAAAGCTGATTTCTGTTGAGAGAACTGATTAAGCTAACTGGCAAGAGTCCAGGTGAGCCATGAAATGCACCTGAGACTAAGATAGTGCTAGCACCAACTGCTTCTGTGCATAACAGATAGCCCACTTGATGCAATAGTTGCTCTCAGGTGGAGACAGAATAAAATGGAGATCAGTCAAAAGGAGATCAGTTCTCCAAACCTCAGCTGGAAAAAGAGTATAAAAGAGACTTGGGAACAGGTATCCCAGATAAGCTGGAAATCTGGAAAGCCCGATTTTGCCAGACAAAAAGATCCTAACTGCCTGCTTATGTAATGTCATGTTAGAACCTACATATGTAAAGATTATGCTGCATTATTTGACACTGCTGGGAAGTATTTCCAGGCACAGAACCACAGCTGTCTGACTGTAAGGACTGTTCCTGTTCCTATACTAAATACTACTATTTAATGTTGTCTCAAACAAGCCAGAAATGTAGTTCATGAGTTAATGCAATCAGTGTACGACCCACAACAGACACTTTACATTGTGACAGTGCTCTCCTGGAAGCCAGGATGGTTACGCAGCACAATTGTCTACACTTGTGTAGGGGTTGTCATCAGTGTGAGAAAACAGCCCCCTTGTTTAATCCATGAGTTATAAAGTGATTCACGTATTCAGAAACAGAGCAAAACTAGATGGCATAGAGACACTTTAGCCCTCCAATGCTAATTATGAACACTGAAGAACTTGCACTATTTCCTAAGACACCTTCATTGTGGTAGGTACTACTGCAAATGAATGTTGCAGAAAAGCTAGTGGAGATCTCTTTTTCAGTGAATGTTTTCATTTTACTTATTTGCAGAGAGAGGAAAGGTAAAGTCACTAAGCTAATTAGTGGTTGAGGGCTGATGGTGATGTTGACCCAGTTGTTCTTCATGTACATGCAAGGAGTTGCTCCATGTTCTCAAGCTAAACAGCCTGTGGAGATACACATGCTCATAAACAAAGCCCCTATCCTAAATAACAACATTGCCTAGGGTGTGCAGGGGTGAGCTCTTGCTGTTGGCTGCACAGCAGCAATCTATTTCTAGCTGAAACAAAGGGACGTAAGTCACAGGTGATCAGGACCTGTCCTGGGTCACTGATCAGTGAAGTTCTGTGGCTCATTTATTTATTTATTTATTTATTTATATGAAATGCGCGTTTGGTCAAATATCTACAAGGTGGCCTTGCAGGGTTGGGGAGGAATGTTCCAAACTGGTGGAAGATAGCCAAAGCATCTGTTATTGGCTAAGGGACACTTGGTAGAGTACGCCCATTCTACTGCTGAATGTATATAATTTCTGGAGAGAGAAAGAGGTGGGGAGAAGCTAGCTCGTCCCCAAATCCTAATCTCCATTCAGGCTATCCTAGAAAGAAGTTAGCCCCTGAACAGAAACTTGGTGATTTCAGAGAAAGATTGTCTGGAGACTGGACAGGCAGAGTTCTCAAGATGCTGACATCCATCTTCCTGAGCCTTCTGTTCCACACTGCAACTTCTTTTCACCAACTGTGAGTGATGCTGAATTTTTGTTTCCATTTCCTTCAGTCTCTAGCACTCTAGGTAGACTCACTGAATTCCATACCATCAGCTATTCTTCCTGCTCTTTCAAGTCACTCCAAAAGGCAGCAGAGTCATTCATGTTGTCTCTCATGGCTGTGAGTTAAAATATGAATAATCTTTTTGGGAGGGGTCTACTAGGAAGAGACCTTATGCCCAGGTATGTTTTCTCTCTGAGCCTTCAATCTGATGTAATCTCTGATGTCTTATTTCCTCTGTCCCAGACATTACCTGGTGGTTATCCCTGCAGATCTCCGTTACCCATCCGTTCAAGTTACCTGCCTCCATATCACCTGTTATGAAGCAAAGATTCAAGTAAAGCTGATCCTGGAGCGCTTTGCAGGACGTGATCTTATAGTGCAAAAAAACATCCAAAAGGAGAAAACTTTCATGTGCACTAAGTTCTGGGTGAGCTACCCTAGGCAAATGCCATCTCTTCAGGAACTGTAAAACCAGGAATTGTAAAAGCCAGTGTTGTTAAGGAGAGGCTCTACTTTGCCTTGGAGCGAGTCTGCTAGGAATGAGAATAGATTATTCTTACAGATGTGGAGTGGACAGCACTTGGTCAGCACTGAGTTGCCCTTCTAACTATTTCTAGTTAGAAATCTAATCTAACTTTTCATCTGAAGTCACATTTGTTAAAAAACTACCACACTACTTGTTTCCTTCTCCTCTATTCCAGACCAGAGCAGCTTTAGCTCATCTTCCAGGCTTGATAAATCCCTTGATAATCTGATCTAGTGGGTGGCAACCCTTTAATGGGAGGGGAATTGGAACTAGATGATCATTAAGGTCTCTTCCAATCCATGATACTCTGAAATACTCATGCAGCTCCAGGGATAAAGCTTGAGGAAATGAAGGTTTGCACAACATAATCTACAGTTTCTGTAGGAACTGCAGTCAGGAAGCAGCTCAGCTCTTGAGCTACTGACCAGCAGTTGGATGGAAGTAGATATGCTTGTTATTTCTAAACAACATCTTACAGCTCATTCATTGTTGGTGAGAATTTGGTTAAGATCTATGATAGGACAATCACACCTGAGTAATATTTCTTCTATTATATACTGTATTCTGTTCTGTGGCTGCTGTGGTATTTTGTTGCATGAGCCAGGAAGACCCCGTGGTTAGCTCTGGCATTCTGATCTGGCTTTCTTACTTATACATGTTACAGAGTCTTGAAAGTCTAGCATTTGAAGCTATGCCAAATAGCTCAGTGTCTGTCCTTTGATTCCATGCTGCTATCTCCCATATTTCTGGCATTTTCTTATTTTCCTGACACTCCCTTTCCTATCTCCAGAGATGAAGTTACTTAGGCAGTGGGAAAAATTATGGATTTCATGATATGCAAAGCCTCCTGGTTGAGTGTAGAATTCAGTGAGATTACAATACCATCTGAATTCAGGTTCAATATCCCTTTCAATAAGGGATGACCTGGCATGGGTGGAGAGTGACAGGTTAGCTTTTTTCATTTCCACTTTACTGTCAATTCCTGCTATGGGCCCCTAGAAGTAATATTACTTGGTGGCTGCATTCTTTTCTCTCTTTGTAAAGGTTGCACCTCCAGCTGATGGCCCAGAGGAGATTGCCACTGTCAGACTGATTATTACTGGTCAAGGGGTCAATATTGAGGAGAAGAAAAAGGTCCTGATCCGCAAGGCGAGCAGTGGCACCTTCATTCAAATGGACAAGCCCATCTATAAACCAGGGCAGACAGGTGAGAGCTGCATATGAGAGCAAGAATAGATCCTAGACTTTTTGCTAGTAAAATCATATGAAAAGACTGCAATTGCTTGAAAATCAAGGAAGGCCCTAGCAGAAGTTTTTGAGAAGACATTTCTTATTGGAATGATATTTTCAGTGCCTGTGATGTCCATCCTGTGCTGACTGTGTAGCTGTAGGAGACAGTAGGTCATTACCCATGCTATCTTTCCTGGGAGAATGCCCATGTGAATTTTATCAGATGTGTACAGTGGAGACAGGACCTGAGGAGACAGAAAGAATAGGGGTCTGCAGGGAAGGATTGAGAAGTGACAAATATATTCCCTGATTTCCTTGCTTTCAGTGAAATTTCGTATTGTGACTCTGGATGAGGACTTCATTGTGCTTAATGATTCGGTAAGTCAGCCCTGCAATCTGTGGAAGAGGCTCCATGTTCTATGCATTAATCCTACTTCCTTTCTCCTCTGCATATCTGCTAAAGTTCTAACTGCTCCTTGTCCCCTGCATTCATTCTGATAAATGTCTATAGGAGAATAGTAACTCAGGGAGCTGGAGACATAATTCAGGAAGATGGGAAAGATGTTCTTGCTCCTGTTAGGAAAATAGTCCTTCAAGCACAAGCATGGCGCATACTGATTTACATGGTGATGTTGTCATATGAGGAGTGAGTAGTTTGGAAGTTGGAACGTCTGATTAGACATTAAGAAAAAACTCTTTCATTTCGAAGATTATCAGATATCGAAACAGATACTCAGAGAAGGCATTTTTTTTCCTTGGAGATGTTCAACACTTGAGAACGCTGAGAGCAACCTGTTCTAATAAGATAAACTTTACCCAGGGCATTGGACTAGATGACCTCCAGAGGTTTCTCCCAAGCTACAAGATCATGTACCTCTGTGACTCCACTGAGATACTGCAGATGAGCCAAATCTATATTGGTTTTAGCAATCTAGCGGTTTTCCTGATAGAGAACTCTGTCAGGATGTAATTAGCATGTGCTAGGTGACCTTCAGATTGATTTTCCCTTTCTCTCTTTCCAGACATTACTGTAATGAATCCACACTGTATTTCTCCTTTTTGGTGACATCTGTGTTCTTTATACTGTTTGTCAGTGCTCTAAATATCCAAGTCGCTATTTTCGCACCCTTCACAGAAGTCTCTGCATCTGAAGTACCTTGTATGTGTTGCTGGTACTTATTTCTCTCTTTTAATGTTTTCACTTTTCTTTCCCTCCCAGATTTCCCTGTTTCTCCAGGTGAGTGATGCTGAAATCTGATGTTACATTACTGTTGATGGCAGCCATTTCACTGGGCTATTCATTTACAGTTCACGGTAGATTTTATGGATCTGTAAGTAGAATGGTAGAACATCAAGATTACTTAATCTAATATACTACACACAACCTCTGTGCCTGTTTTTGCACTTGATGTTATGCTCTTAGTTACTGGAATGGAAATCTGAGTTGCTCCTGAAGTACAAAACTATAGACAGATCAATTTATACCTTTATGTTAACAGGTTAGAACTGTAAAGGATATTTCCTTGAGATCAGCCTTTAGAGAAGTGTAGAAGGGGATTCAGCTGCTGACAGCAGAATGTAGCATATTATCTTCAAAATTTCTTGACTGTACTGTGCCAAACCTTGTCCCTTAGCTATTTTTCTAACTAGCACTGAAATCTTGAAGATGGTTTTCTAGAGACTGTGGATCACTGAGATGCTAGAACAATTGCTTCTTTCTCTCTTGTGGATGTAGGACCCCAAGAACAACCGGATAGAGCAGTGGCTGAATGTGGTGCCGCAGGAAGGCATTGCGGATCTGTCTTTCCAACTAAGTGATGAGCCTCTGCTGGGGACATATGTTATCAATGTAACCAACAGGAAAACATATGGCAGCTTCACTGTTGAGGACTATGGTATGAGTGCATGAGGGATATGTATGAAGTGAGAGATGACTTCACTCTTTATTCCATGAATCTGGGTTTTTATTTCATTATAACCATCCTGCAAGCAAATGAAGAAAGTAAAAACATCATAGAAAAGAGTCTGAGCTGATGCTCAGGAGAGAGATTGCATTTGAGACCTTTGGTTATTGTATAGGAGCAACTCTGCAAGGCCCTAGACTTTTGACACAACTGATTCCTGAAGATGGCTGTATCAGACAAAATAAGGTCACTGGAATGGGCTTTTCAAAAGAATATGAAGCCCAGTGCTACTTATTTTATCATTCCCTAATTAACTCTGCTGGGAAGTTACTGCAAATAGCTGTCTGAACTTGAGGGATATGGACATAGAATTATAGAATTACTATAGAATTATGGAATCATTAAGGTTGGAAAAGACCTTTAAGATCATCCAGTCCAGCTATTCACCTGCCGCCAAGATTTCCCACTAACCAATGCCCGTCAGTGTCACACCCACGCTTTTCTTGAACACCTTCGGGAAAGGTAACTCCATCACCTCCCTGAACAGTCTGTTCCAATGCTCAAACAATATTTTGGAGAAGTTTTTCATAACATCCAACTTGAAAATCCCCTAACATGTTTGAATTTTAAATTGGAAAGGAGCCATGGACTAGATTAGAATTTGTTATAGAAATAATGGAAATATTCCCTTTCATGTTTTAACTTCCTTTCTTCTCAGTTTCCTGTCTCTTATTCCAGCACAGTCTGTCTTCATGTTGATTCCCTGGAAAGGCTGTCCTTGGCCAGTGTTTCCTACAGTTGTCTGTTTTTTTCTTTTTCCTTACAGCGCTGCCAAAATTTGAAGTGATCTTTGAGACACCAGTGGTGATTTATGCGCTAGATAAAACTTTTCCACTTCGGGTATGTGGCAGGTAAGGGTTCTACTTGGAGAAGTGGGCCCTATGCTAAATTCTGACCAGAGGCAAGTATATTTCCGTGCAGGTATCATGAGACTCAGAGGAAATTTACTGCACTTCAGTTACAGCAGGTCAGAATATTCCACGGTATGTCTTTGAACCTTAATGCAAAACAGAACATTCCTAAAATTATCTTTCTTGTAATTTGATTTCCCAGAATAGTCTGATACTAATTTTATCACAAGGCTCTTGATCTTATATCATTGCAGTGTTCTAGTTTGATCTTATTAAATGCATCAGGTCTCTTGGGCCTGTACATCTGCCATATTTATGATATATTGTGAATAGCCATGAATAAGTATACCTAGGCACACAAAGCAAGCACTAGTGTTTTCACACTTTGTTTGAATATCGCTTCTTTTCCCTGCTCTCTTAAACAGATACAGTTATGGGAAAGCTGTCCAGGGGATGGTTTATGTGAGCCTTTGTCAGAAAATATCCCAGTTCTTGCCCAGTGCTTCGAAACCTGATCTCTGTCAGGAATTCAAGAGCAGGGTGAGTTGCATAGCAGGAGCTGAAAACAGTGAAAGTTGTGGTGAGCCCCAGGCTAACACAAGGCTGCTGGAGCTAGCTGAAAAAGCAGTGGTGTCACAACTTGGTTTTGGCTACTTGATCACAAGTCTGCTGGTGCTGCCTCTTAGTAGCTGTATCTGCTACGACACTGTGTGTATCAAGTGCCTGCTCCACATTCTTGACTGCTATCTGTACCCAGCCTTGCTCTCCTATGAATGGGTCTTCTCAAGTTATATATAATAGCATCTAGAAGACTAAATCCATAGAATTGAGGGCACTTCTCTGAAGAAGTCTTCCTCTTACATGGGCAACATACTGGTGATGCTGATTTCTTTGTCAGACACAAGAGCTGGTGGGAAGCCCCTATCTTGCAAATCTTCATTACACTGCAGGAGCTGAGACTTTGCCATGCTGAAAGCCATGAATGTCACAGACTTTGTGCAGCCTGCTTGGACCTTCTCTCTTGCTAGGTGATTTGAAGAAAAACAAACAAAGAAACAAACAAAAAATCTGCAGCCGTAGACAGATAAGCCTCAAAATAGCAAGATCTCAAGACCATTAGAGTGACACATTTGTATATTCCTTTAGCCTTAGGCATCATCCTTTCCCTTTCTCATTTTCCGTTTCCTGCCTCAGGACTTAATTTCTCTGTTACGTTTTATACCTTCCATGGACCTAGATGTCTTTGATCTGGTGCTTATTTTCTTATTTGAGCCTTGCATTGCTACTCCTGCCCCATTTGGATAATATCTGACATAAATGCCTTGATCAGACCACTCTTCCTCTCTCTGGGATTTCAGACAGACAAGATGGGTTGCTTCTTCACAAATGTGACCTTATCCTTCAGCCAAGACTTGAGGTACTATCGGGACAGCATAGTTGCAGAGGCCTCACTGTTGGAGGATGGCACAGGTAATTATGGAAATATCTCTGGGAAGAGGCATGGGAAGATACACTAATCGTAGCAAGGATGCCACAGACTTTCAGACTAGCAAGAGCTCTGAGGTTTTTGAGCCCATTGAGGCCTGCCATCTAACCTCATGGATATTGTTAGAGCCAAAAATTCCTGAAGGCATGACACACTCAGAATGTCTGTGGTCTAATCTCATGTAGCAAAGCTTAGGGGCCTTTCTAAGGGATAGAAGATAATGTGAAGGAGACCAGATACCCAGAGCCTTGGACAAGTCATCTCCTTGGTATGAAATATGTATGCGCATGTACATTGGTATTACTGATTATATTATTCTACAGGCAACTTGCTGACAGGCTCATGGTTTCCCTGATTTCCTCCCTTATGTTTCTGTCTTATTGATGTCATTCAGAGATACAGGTCAATGCTTCCCACAAATTACTCATCTCCAAGATTGGCGGGATGGCCTTGTTTGATGATGTGAATTCTTACTATCACACTGGAGAGATGTACAGAGGGAAGGTAATTCCCAGTTATGGTCTTTTGGAGAAGACAGCATGAGAAATGCCTTCACAGAGTCTGCTTTTCCAACCCCATCTCTAGCACGGGCTGGAATATTCAGAAGTGAGAAAAACATCCAAGACCTTAATTTGCCAAATAAACCTTGAGTAGTAGCAGCTCTGGGCATGCACTGGGGGATGTAAACCCAAGCACTGGAATTTCAGCAGCCAGGAGGCCTTTGCAATAAAGGGGTATTGGGATTTTGTCTGTGCCTAAATGTGCTAATGGGAGGTTACTGGTAGCAGAATTGTTAGGGATTGGAGGGATGACCTTCCTGCTAAAATACTGCAGAAATTCTGCTACTGGCTTGGAGGAGATTATGTCCACTGAACAGTCTTCTATGCTTGTATCAATCACCATGGTATTCTCAGATCAAAGTCATTGACTACAAAGGCGAGACGCTGAAGTACAAAAATGTCCTCCTTGTAGTAAGTTTTGGTGAGCAGCAGTTTCAGCAAAAGTACATCACTGGAGACACTGGAAGAGCTTCATTTAGCTTAAACACAACTACTTGGAACAGCACCCCAGCCTCCCTGGAGGTAAGTGAAGAAAATTCTGTGTCATTGACTATGAAAGTAAGGGGTAAGCATGCTTCTCAGTGTGTACTGTCTCAAAGACAGTTCCGTTCTGAGGGACTAAAACTCCAACTCAAAACACCTCAGTATGTTGTGGGTCTTGATGCTTATTCTTTGAATCCCAACAGCTTTCCTCATGAACCTTTCACACAGAAATGTGTGTGACAGTGTTGTCAAGAAGTGACCTGGGCTTTCTAACATGCAACAGCTGGATTGATTTGCAACTGACCTGCTTAACTAAAGAAATAATCTGCTGTTTGTGTTTTGTGGTTGTTTTTTTTTTTCTTTTTTTTTTCTTTTTTTTTTTCTTTTTCTCTCTTACCAGGCAAGTGTCCTGCATCAGGATTTGGATGGGGAGCCTGAGACAGTTGATTTGAATTACCAGAGAGCCTCTCATTTCATACATCCATTCTACAGCACCAGCAGGAGTTTTCTCAGTATTGTCCGTGTGCCAGAAATGATGCCTTGTGGTAAGAAGCAGGCTATCCAGGTGGACTTCAGAATTTACAAAGAAGACCTGGAACATGGGCCCAAGCGTGTAATTTTCTCCTACCTTGTAAGTTCTTGAAGAAGTGCTAGTACTGATGTCTCAAGACACCATATCAGAATCCTCCACAGGTTCAAGCCTGATACTGGATAGCTTTGGCTTGGCAGTTTGACAGGTAGCTCATCTAGCCATCATGGGGCTGGATCCTGGTTTTAATTCTGGGACTGCAGAGCAGAATGAAAGGCAGCACCTTTCTTTTGGGCTCTGCACAGATGCAGGACAGGTATTGACCTTTTCTATCCTCCAGCAAGTCCCCTGAACTTTTCATGTTACCTAAGTGTGAGAAAAGCTCCTATTCCCCTCACATACCCCATTTAACTTCCAGTCTCAGAAATACATGGGTCTGCATAGTGGTCTCAAAGACAACATGATTGGCATTCCCTTCCCTTTTTTTATTCTTTCATAGGTCACGGGGAAAAGTGGAATAGTTCAGGCAGGTCAGAAGACTGTTTGGGTTGGGCTGCCAAGAAGTAAGTGCACTCCCCTGTTATATGTCTAGAAAGCATTCAATGTTCTGTGGCATCCCTTTCTATCTGGATATGTGGTATAAGCCTCTGCAATTTAGAGCAATTTGCAACTTGATCATCCTTCTTCTATCATTTCCACACAGCTTGTATTTCTAGCTTTCACATTTCCCTTTTGTTTGGTGCGAAGAAAACAGTCCTCAACATTACTTGACCTGCAGGCTCATACGCCGTTGCTTTCATTTTCAAATAAGTCTCCCTTAGCTGCCCTTCCAAAGGACATGAAAAATAGCTTTTCCCTCTATCAAAACTCTATTGCTTTGATTTGCAATTGTGCCTACAAATAACCTTTGAGTAGATAGGATGCCACATCTTATCATTTTGATGGTTGCAGACTGTTGATTGACTGTTGTGTTTTATCTTTGACATAATTATAATCTAAATTATATGTGCTTTGAGGCAAATACGACCTCTTTGATGATAAGATGGAAGGCTTTGAAAGATACCTGAGACTCTCATTCTTTGTATAGCTAATCTTGAACTCCAAATAATTCATTCATCTCCTCAAGGCAATAAACAGAACCAGTACAAGGCAATAAACAGAACCATCTTTTGCAGATCTTGAATACTAAGTCTAGAGATGGTTTCAGCAGTCTTCAGAAATCGCTGTGGTCCTGAAGTAGCTGAGGAAAGGAATTAAACAGACATGTACAGAAGGACAAAAGCTGATCAGAGTCCCTTTCCATTATCGAATTTACTAATTTCTCTTGTTCCCTCTCTCCTCCATCTAGTGCTGAAAGGCTTCTTCTCCATCCCTGTTACCTTCAGCTCAGTCTATTCTCCAGCTCCAACACTTATTGTTTATGTTATCTTCCCTAATGGAAAAATCATCGCTGATTCTGCCATCTTCAGTGTCTCCTTGTGTTTCAGAAATAAGGTAGGATTTTTGTTGGAAGCTATGGCTAAATGTGAGAGGGTAAGTGTGGCTGCTGCCATCAAAAAAGAGACTGAAGAATACATAATTTGTATAGCTCTATGTGGCTGACACCATGTCTTGTTAACTGCCGTACATGTACAGTGAAGGGAGTTGCAATGTCCTGAGCACTGTGGGAGCTGCTGTGGGATGCAAGACAAGTGCTGAGGGAGTTGACAGATGTGATTGTGAAACTACTCACTATAATCTTACTTGATTAGGACAACTGGAAAAATTGTCCAAAGACTAGAGGAAAGCAAATGTCAGTGTTATTTTCAGAAAAGAAAGGAGAACGCAGAAAACTATTCACTTTAATCCCTGGTAAAGTGGTGGAACAAGTATGCCAGAAAACAATTTCTGGACACATGAAGGAGAAGAAAAATTGTCAGGAGTAGTCAGCATGGATTCAGCAAGGAAAAGTCATTCCTGACCATCATAAGCAGCTTCTACAGTGAAAGCACCAACCTGATGTTTGGGAGTAGAGGAGTGAACATTGTCTTCTTGGACTTCAGTAAGGCCTTTGACTGCCTCCCATAAGATCCTCATAGAGAAACTGTTGAAGTATGAGCTGGATGAGTAGACAGTGAGGCAAGACTGCTGGATAGTGGTCAGTGGTGCAAAATCTGATCAGTACTTTTGGCTACATTAGGCAAATTATTGCCAGCAGGTCAAGAGAGCTGATACTTCTTCTAAAGGAAGGATGCAAAGAGGACAGAAACGGGCTTTTTTCAGTGGTGCCCAGTGCCAGGACAATTGCCAAATGGCACTAACTATAATACAAGAAGTTCTATCTAAATATCAGGAAGCATATATTTACTGTGCAGGTGATTGCACTCCAAAGGCTAACTTCTGAGGACTAGCATTGCTTGTGCTCCACAACTTTGTATCTTCCAGGGACAGTCAGATTCAAGCTAGGATACAAACTGCTGCAGGAAACTGAGACCAACTCCACAAAAAGCCTGGAGATAAATACTAGGCTTATTTTTAATGTGGAGCTCCAAAAGGAGCAGAAAGCAAGCTGTGTGTGGTGTGTCAGTTTGCTGAACAAGGAGTGCTGTGTGATGTCTACAGTGCTGTCACCTGTTCACCAGTACCTGTGATGGTAGAAAAGATGGTTGTCCCTGTCTTTCATATGACCTGTCATCTTTCCTCTCAGAATCTCAACATGATGTTTTCTTAAATACCTTTTAGGAGTCCTTAGGAAATTCATTTGTTTTTCATTCAAATCGTGTCCTTGGGAATTATTTTCATGTAGGGACCTTCTCTGCTCAGGAAGTGGTAGAGAGGCCAGCAGCAGAAATGTTGCATGTTTTACCTATGTTTGCATGTTCTTCACATCCAGGCAGAGCTGAGCTTCTCAGTGCCCAAGACTCTTCCTGGTTCAGAGGTTGATCTCCGCCTGCAGGCACCACCTGGATCTACATGTGCTGTCTGGGCTGTGGATCAGACTGCCTTTTTGCTAAAGCTAGAAAAAGAACTCAGCCACTCCATGGTGAGTCTGCTGAACTTTTTCTCCTTCCTTTGCACTGACAAGAAGAGGGATGGGAGAAAGAGAGATTTTCAGAGATTGTCTCTCAGAGAACTCAAAGCACCAACTAGAAGGATCAAGGTTTTCTTAGTGTGGCACAGGTAAGGATTAGGAGGCACCAGTTAAAGAGACTGAATGCCAGTCAGTGCACCAGTAGTAAATCCAGACCCAGCTTTGTTTGCTCTGTCTCATACTCATTTTAGCAGACTGTGCTGGCTCTGTTGGAGAAGAGATAACTTTGAGCCTGTTCTTTCTGACATGCATTTATGCATGATAGCCAGGAGCAAACTAGCCTTGGATATACTACACAAAGTGAATGCCAAGTATTATTTGTGCTGACTTTTTTCTTTTGCTTTTCTTGCTTTCCCAGATCTATGGGCTCTTTCCATCTATTTATAACTCCGGATATCCTCATCAAGTGTCTGAAGATGACAATTCATGCAGGTTCCAAAATTCTGATCAGCCTGATGTGTTTACAGCATTTAGGGTAAAAATAGTTAATTTGTAATTCATGAATTGAGGAAAGTATGGCCCTCTGACTTTATCAATAATGTAGAAATGTCATCACAGATAGTAGAGGAAGTAAGTTCCATTTATGCATTTATAATCCATTTGTTCTTTGAATAAAATACTTGAAATTGTTGACCAATGGGAAATTGTTGTGTGATTACTGCATTTTTATTGCATGATTTAGGATGCCAAGTATTATTGGTTACTTTAATTGGATTTCACATAGTATGTGTAATCTCCATATCATGAGCAACTTGGGTTGCCCAAGATTAATCTGTTGGAATTTCACTTTGCAAGCTGAGAAGGCACAGTGCATAAATGAACTTGCATTTGAAAAAGAAGAAACTTTTCTACCTTGGCGTGATGAATTAACTTGGATGACTTTGTTTGCTCTTTACTGATGATCTGAGTGACTCTGTCCTAAATCTAAGCCAGAGGATGGCTGAGTTCCTATGCATAAGGGGAGAATAAGGCACAGGATAAAAGGCAGAGAAGATAGGAGAAGAATCTAGTACTTCAGTTTTTTCTTTTTTCTTTTTTTCCTACAGGAAATGGGATTGAAAATTATGTCCAACATCAATATCAGGAAACCAAGACTGTGTCTAACTGATCAGTCAACAACTACGATGAAGAAAAGAGGGATGTTCACTTCCAGTCCCATGTTGACGTTTGCTCAGCCCCATAAGGAATCTAACAGTAAGCACCTTACAACTATTTCTTCTCACATGGGATGTAAAAAAGGTGAAAGCAGTCCTGAGTTTGAGCTAAGAGGCAGTACTTCCTGTAATTGCACATGGAGGAGAGACACTTCTCTGACTTTAAACCTTTAAACCTTTATGCTTAGCTGTCTGTCTGGCCTTACGGCTTCTGGTTCTGAAATATTAATAAGCTGAATGGATCGCAGGTCTAACTTCTGAGGTGAGGGAATATTTGCCCTTGCTGTGGTGCCTATGAACACAATTAAGGCATAAAGAGGCTCCATTGTATCAAATAAGACAAGAGGTTGTAAAATTTGGGCTTCAGCATCTTTAGTTCCAGCGCAGTGCTTCCCATGACCTGACTGGATGACTCGCAGCCTGAGCTAGTATGGAGGCCCTCTACTCTAAATCAGGGCCTGAGGACATTGTGGTAGCTGGGTGTTTGTTACTTCCAGCAGGACATCTGATGACATCTACCTATCAGCCCACTATGTTTTCACCTGTTTCTTCAGCTGAAGAGAAAGTGCACAAGTATTTCACAAAAACCTGGCTATGGGATTTGTATTCTGTTGGGTGAGTAGACTGAGTAGTGGGAGTCTAGTTTGGGTGACTTGGAATGACAGCAAGATACAACCAGATTTAAATCATAAGCTACCAAAGAAGACACCAAAATACATATATTATGGGTTTCATACCTACCAGATTTTTCCTTGTTGGAGCTGATGTTTGCATCAAATACATTTTCCTGTACTTGGTGACCATGCAGAGAAAGTATCCATCCAAAGGATGTGGCTGTCATGAAAATAGAAGAAAGTAAGCACAGTGTGATAAAGCAGCTTGTTTTACTTCCTGCAGTCTGCCTGTTCTGGCTCTGTGAATCAGCAGTTCACAAAGCAGGCTCATGGGATGTACCCTGGGATAAAGGAGAAGCTGATCTCCACAGAAGCCCTGCACAGGACTTGGGATTGTGTCCTGTGAGAAAGGCTGAGGGTTCAGTGAGTATGCAGGTAGCCTTGCTAACACAAATGAGGCAGAGAAAGTGTTTGGGTCTGGATTGAGTGGAAGATGAGGAACTGAACAGGCAAACACTATATGAATTCCAGGTGCTCTGGTGAAGAAGTTTATACTCAGAATCTATATTGTCCTTTCTCCATGATGCTTTCAGGACTCCCCATGGACCAGGAAACAAATCAGTGTTTTCCAGACAGGAAGAGAGAGCAGAATGGTGGTGTGGGAAGCCATTTTCTGTTGAGCTTCAGGAGAAAGACAGGATAAACTTTTGGAGACTTTTCTTCTCTGGACTTCACAATTTATTGTTTGATGTCTGGAGACTGGCATCTGCTTAGGCCAGATCCCTCCCCCCGCCTCTGCTCTCTCTCCCCTTCCATCTCCTTCCAGTTATATTCATCTTTTCACTCGCAGATATTTCATATGTGATTTGCCCACTAGACTGATCTGAGCAACCAAAGTTCTTTCATATTTGTCTATGCCTGGCAAAAGTGGATTCTTTAGAGGAAAACAAATGTTTCCAATTCTTGGAGTCAAATAATATCATAAGCTTTAATGAGGAATGCTTTTTTAATGGGTGGGAGCAGCCACGGATTACTCTGATGCTCTTAGAAGTTGTGATGTGAGCACAGACCAAGTGTCTGCCATGTCTTTCTATTAGACTTCAAGATGTCAGTTTTTCATGGAAAGGTGAATGGCAAAATCTGTTTCTTTTGATGAGTTCTGCTTGTCTCGGACCACTCCTATTGCTCTTCTGGTTCCTGGTTCTCCATCCCTAGGCCAAGAGAAACAAAACTGCGGACAGCTGTAAAGTATTTTCATATGTGCAGAGGCAAGTGTTAACTTAGAAAAGTGCTGAGTATGATAATGGTATCTTTCAGCCATATAACTTACTGTCAAACCTACTGCTGTTGATATAAGCATCTGAGGCAGCAGTCCCTGCCTTTTCTAGGTAAGGTCCTCATGAAATAGAGAAAAATCTAAAGAAAAGCATTATTTCCATCAGAAACAGTGAATGCCTATAGCAAGATATTCCAGGCTAGTCTGGGGACTTCATATTGGACTGCAGGGAGAGTCTGCTAATGGATGGAAGGTAGTAGCAAGGCAGTAATGCACTGGGTATTAATTCAGAGACTATTGGTGAAGGCATTGTGAAGTTAGATCAGTGAAGATGAAAGAGTGAAATGCCAAGGGGAGCTTACCTTTCACAAGGGACTGCATGGGGGACAAAGCTGCCAAAATCAAATACCTGAAATAGATATTTTTAATACCTCTTCCCTCAGCTGCTCATGATGTACATATTTTGCTCTGAAAGTAATACCTTCTGCCTCCTGTTTATTTCCATGAAAATTGCAACAGACACAAAGAGCATCATAACAGCATTTGATAGATCAAATTCTCTGTTACAAAATGCTATTTTCCAACATAATCACCACCATTAGCTCTGTGTTTTTGCTAGCAATGAAAAAGAGCCTGCATGCCACCTGTAAAAATCTGCACCAGTCATACTGACCCATTGCTACTATTGCCACTGATGGAACAAACAACCTACCTCCTCACTGTGCTCGGATCCGCTCTTTGGTCTCCATAAATGCTCAGCAAGTATCACTGAATGTCAGTGAGTGCATTTTTTTTCTGCATAGAGGAGCTCTGTGATACGCCTTTGCTACATATGCATGTCCATATCAGATACCATTTTGCCAGATTGCCCCTCTGCTTGCCATATATGGCAGCAAGATATAATGGAATATTGGTGCGAAAGTTCAGCCTCTACTGCTACACCACCACCATCTGCCTCTGACATTGTAGGCCGCCATCATAAAGTAGGAGGCATTACTGTCACAACAGCCCTCCTCGTGTTGGCATGCCTGTTTCATCTGAATGATGTGTCCCATGCCTCTTTGCCTGTATTCCAAGGGCTACAAATTCAGCAGAAGTTAGCTGTTAGACTGAGGTCAGGGAATGGAGCATACTGCGATCAAGGGCATAGACTAGGTCATTTGTTGCTCCATACAACAAGATTCTATTAAATGCTTCTGTTGCTATCTACTTCTCTTCAGTCCTAGTGGAAACCAAACCATCACTGTCACTGTGCCTAATACCATCACAAGATGGGAAGCTGGGATGTTCTGCACAGGACGTAATGGCTTCGGACTAGCTTCTGCCTCCAGTCTGCTTGTTTTCAAGCCCTTTTTTGTGGAGCTCACACTTCCATCTTCTGTGATCCAGGGTGAAACCTTCATCTTGAAGGCCACAGTCTTCAACTACCTACAGCAATGTATGAAGGTTGGTGAGCCCTGACAGTCTTTGCAAGAAAAATAGGGTATGTTTAGATGAGAGATGGCTGAAGCCCATACCTTATTTTAGAAAATGTGTGACATTTGTCTTGTTACCTTCTGTCATCCCTGCTGCCCTGATAGATCCAAATGACTATGGAGGAGTTCCCACATTTCCAGCTGAAGTCATGTGAGGGTTGTGTCTACAGTAGCTGCTTATGTGCTGGAGAAGTAAAGACGTTTCTTTGGAGTGTCACAGCTGAGCGACTGGGTGAGGAGAAGAAGGAGGTGGGGCTGAGGAGTTGGGATGGAATGGGGCCAAGGTGAGGATGCTTTGTAAGGGCTGAGTGAGGAGGTTGGGTTATGTGCCCTGTTATCCTAGGCTACTCATGTGCATTTCTCCTAAAGTCATGGATATTCAGTTTAGTGCTAGGAGGTACAGAACCTCCTGTAAGTAGGGCTCTAATCGAAATTTTTGCTGCAAACAAGTGACTTCTGTTATATTAATGGGAAGCAATGTTTACTGCACTAAATGTGTCTTATTTTCAGGGCTCATGAACATCACTCTCAGCACAGAGGCCATTGCCACCAAAGAGCTCTGTGGCAAAGAGATACCGTTTGTCCCAAACCAAGGACAGAAAGATACAATCACCAAACTCCTTTTAGTCCGGGTCAGACAACCTCTTCTGTTACTTAGACCTTAAAATGGACTTTGTGCAACTCCTAGTTTGGTGCAGAGTAATTGTAGGGGTTGTCCCTTGTTATTCAAGGTGTAAAATTAGAATCTAATGGCCTGAGCTGGGGCCTTGAAATTTAGGAATTATACGGGTCTCCTCTATTTCATGCCAACTTCTGTTCTTCTGTTTGTGGTCAGGCCTCTAAATACAAAATCTTAAGTATTTATACCCCTTTATGTTCTTCCTAAACTCTCTGCTGAATCTTGCAACATTTGTTTCACAAGCATTCACAAGCTAAAATATTCCGAAAATTTCTTATCTGAAATTAAAATGATTGACTGTAATTTTTTTATTTTTTATTATTGATGATAAAAAGCAGAATATCAGGCTTGGACCAAAATTTTGTCTGTATCTGTTTCTAATCCACTTTTTCTCTCCTATGTGCTCATTACTGCTATTACTAAATGCTCAACAGCCAGAAGGAGTGCTAGTAGAAAAGGCTCACAGCTCCATCCTGTGTCCCAAAAAAGGTAAAGAGATTGTTTTCTTCTTTTACTCTGCTCATCTCACCATTCCTGGCAATCTCCTGGGTCTTTGCAGTTGCTGAACAGTTTTTCTTTGTCAAACATGATCAAGGTACAGAAGCCCATTCTAATTATGTTGCCATCAGGAGCTTCCTGGATAAAAGTGAGAAGGGATGTCAAAGCTTTTAGCATCTACATTCCTGATACTAATATGACAGCCTAATATGACAGGACTTTTTTGCCTGCAGTAATAACCGTATTGCAGAACAGGGTGAGGCTGGAAGGTGTGACTTTGGACTGCTGCTCCTGTTTTCAAATTTTATGGTGTATTGTGGGTTTATTTGCAGCTTTTTTTTGTGACCACTAGGTGCACTAAAACATACCAGCAACTGATATTTAGAATCATAAAATCCTTAGAGTTGGAAGGGACCTTTGAAGGTCATCTAGTCCAATGCCCCTGCAATGAACAGGGATACCACTGCTAGATCAGGATACACGGGGCATGATCTAGCCTTGCCTTGAAGGTCTCCAGGGTCAGGGCATCAAGCACATCACTAGGTAATGTGTGTTACCTCACACGTGTGTTCAGTGCCTTACTACCCTCACTGCAAAACATTTTTCCCTTATATCTAACCTAAATCTACCCTCTCAGAGCTTGAAGACATTTCCCCTTGTTCTATCACCACAGACCCTGCTAAAGAGTCTGTCCCCTTCTTTCCTGTAGCTCCCCTTTAGATTCTGAAAGGCCTCTCACCTCGCAACTGTCTCTTCTCCAGGCTGAAGAGCCCCAGCTCTCTCAGCTTGTCCTCATATGAGAGGTGTTCCATCTGTGGATCATTTTTGTGGCCCTTCTCTGGACCTGCCCCTACAGGTCTGTGTCTCTCCTGTACTGAGGACACCACATCTGGACACAGCACTCCAGATGAGGCCTCACCAGCGCAAAGTAGAGGGGCAGGATCACCTCCCTAAACTTGCTGGCCATGCTTCTTTTGATGCAGCCCAAAATAAAGTTAACTTTCTGGGCTGCAAGGGTACACTGTTGGCACATGTCCAGCTTGACATCCACCAGTATCCCTTGTATTTTTTGGCAGGGCTATGCTCAATCCTTTCATTTCCCAGTTTGTATTGGTAATGAGTATTGCCTCGACCAAAGTGCAAGGTCTTGCATTTAGCTTTGTTGAACTTCATGAGGTTCACCCGGGCCTGCTGCTCAAGCCTATCTAGGTGTCTCTGGATGGCATCCCATCCTTTCGGTGTGTTGGCCACACCCCACAGCTTGGTGTCATCAGTAAACTTGTTGAGGGTGCACTCAAGCCCACTGTCAATGTCACTGATGAAGATATTAAAGAGTATCAGACCCAGAACTGACCTCTGGGAGACACCACTCAGCACCAATCTCCATCCAGACATCTAGCCATTGACCACCACTCTCTGGACTCAATCCTGCAGCCAGTTCTTCGTCCATTGAACAGTCCACCCATTAAATCCATATCTTTGCAATTTGAGGAGCAGGATATTGTAGGGTACCATATCAAAAGCCTTACTGAAGTCAAGGTAGATTATATCAATGGCTCTTCCCTTGTCCATTGATGCAATGACACCACCATAGAAGGCTACTAGGTTGGCTAAGCAGGATTTGCCCTTGGTGAAACCATGCTTGTTCTCCCATATCACCTTCCTGCCGTCCTTGAGCCTTAGCATAGCTTCCAGGAGGATCTGCTCCATTCTCTTCCCTGGCACAGAGGTGAGACTGACAAGTTGATAGTTCCCATGGTCATCTTTTTTACCCATTTCTAAAAATTGGTATGATATTACCTTTCTTTTGTGTCACCAGGGACATCAGCTGATTGCTATGACTTTTCAAATATCATAGAAAGTAGCTTGGCAACCACATGAGCCAATCCCCTTAGGACCCTGGGATGCAACTTATTGGGACCCATAGACTTGTGGATGTTCAGGTTCCTCACTTAGTCACAAACCCAATCTTCACTTACATTGGGAGGGATGTTGACTCCCCAACCCCCTCCTACCATACCAAATGTTTGAGGGCTGTACAGTGAGCAGTTATCAGGGAAGACCAAAGCAAAAAAATTGTTAAGTGTCTCAGTCTTCTTCTTGTCTGTTGTTACTAGCCTACCTGTGTCACTCCCTAGGGGTGGGCTATGCCCTTCTGGACTTTCCTTTTCTGGTTGAGGTAGTTGTAGAAGCCTTTCTTGTTCTTCTTGGCATCCCTAGCCAAGTTCAGTTCAAGCAGCGTCTTGGCTTTCCTGACCCCATCCCTACACAGTCTTGCAGTTTTGTTATATTCTTCCTATGATACCTGTCCCTGTTTCCATTACCTGTACATTTTCTTGCTCTTCAGTTTGATCAGCAGGTCCTGGTTTAGCCACACCAGTCTCTTGCCTTCTTTTCCTGACTTGCTATACCTGGGGATGGAGTGCTCTTGAGCCCTGAAGAAAGCCTCCTTAAAGATGTGCCAGCTTTGCTCTGCACCCTTGCCCATAAGGGCAGTTTCCCAGTTCATTGGCTAACTCCCTGAAGAGCTGGAATTTAGCTTTCCTTAAGTTTAGCTTCCTAATTTTATTCTTCACCTGTTTCATGTCCCTCCAGAGTGCGAACTCAACCATCAAATGGTCACCACAGCCCAGGCAGCCTCCAATCCTGTTGTCATCAATCAGTTCATTTACCTGTGAGCACAAGGTCCAGTATTTCATCACCCCTTGTGGAGCTGTCAATTACTTGACTCAGGAAATTATCCTCAATGCACTCCAGGAGCCTCCTGGATTCCCTACAGCTCACTGTGCTACTTTTCTAGCAGATGTCTGAGTGGTTGAAGTCCCCCAGCAGGATGAGTGCTTACTATTGCAATGCCTCCTTTAGCTGGAAGTAGAAGACCTTATCCACAGGGTCCGTTTGATTGGATGACCTATAGTAAACATTGATCACAAGACTCCCTTTGCTGCCTCAATCTCTAACTGGTGCCCAGGCTGTAGACTTGCTTGTGACTGCTCTTCACATTCTATTCCTTACCTTGTGTAGATAGTAACATCTCCACCCTTCCTTCCTTGCCTGTCCCTTCTGAACTGGCTTGTAGCCATCAATAGCCACACTCCAGTTGTGGGAATCATCTCACCAGGTTTTGGTGATGACAGCTATATCGTGTTTTTCAAGAAGCACAGGAGCTTCCAGCTCCTCCTGTTTGTTTCCAAAGCTGTGTGTGTTGTTGTATAGGTACTTCATCTGAACAGCTGGTCTTGTCACTTTCTTAAAGGATAACTCCTTAGTTACTTTTAGTTATGTACCTTGAATTTCCCCATTGCCTTTTCCTGTTGCCCCAGCAGTCACTGTCTTACCATCATAGAGTTCTGTATGCACTGCATTGCTGCTAGCACCTCTCAGTGCAGCAGGTCCTTCAAGGCCCCTGCCAGCACCCTGTCTCTCTATTATAGTTATGCCTTTCCACACTTTATCATGGAAAGCCTCACTATCCTCCCCAGTCCTCCTTCACACCTAGTTTAAATCCCTCCCAGCCTCTCAAGCCTCATTAGCTTTTCTCCTAGCTTTTCCCCTTAGCATTTCCTTTGAATCAAGTTGGCGTAATTTACAAAGACAAAAGCAGGTAGGTGGTTTTGACCACAGAGAATTCCTTGAAGATGCCCTTACCCCTTTCATAAGGCTGTTAGGATAGCACAGTCACAATGGAGTTAGATGGACAGAGCTGAGGATGGAATGGGATAGGGTTTGTGAAGTCATATGCAACATTTGTGACGAGAAAATGGAATGTTAGCAACATCTTGAACAACTTCTGCAGATTTTTAAAGCTATTTTTGTAAGAAACTCTCTTTATTTTTTTTTTCTTTTTCATTTTTGTCATATCTTACACCCGCTGGTATCAGGGAGTCCAGCAGAGGAGTCTGTGTCCTTAATGTTGCCTCTAAATGTGGTTGAAGGTTCAGTGAGAGCTACTGTCTCGATCACTGGTAAGGAATTTAGTTATGATAATACTTTTCCAACAACTATTTCTCTGAGCATAGCCCTAAGAAAGCCCAAGCCCAGAATACTCAATTCTCCTTCTGAGGTTTTCGAGGCTCCACTGCCTTGATCTTTCCATGTATGTAGCTGAGATTCCTGGTTCCACATATAACCAAAAACACTAAGAAAGGGAAAGTTTGTTCTATTTATGAGCTTCCTGTGGCAAGATGGGAGTGTGTACAGGCCATAAAGAGGGTGCAGTGAAACTGATAAGCTGACTGATCATAGCTGCCTGCACACTGTTGTGCTGGGGCTATCTTATTTAGTGCAGTACCAGGAACTGGTCACAGGTTGGAGAATATAAATATTGAGCCCCACCTGCCACCTATGAGTGGTCAGAGTGTCTATGTTCTGTCCCAGGTGACCTCATGGGGATAGCACTGCAAAACTTGGACCAGCTGGTGCAGATGCCCCATGGCTGTGGAGAGCAGAACATGGTACTGTTTGCCCCTATTGTCTACGTGCTACAGTACCTGGAGAAGACAAGGCAGCTGACTCCTGAGATTAAGGAGAGGGCAACAGGATTCTTGCGCAATGGCAAGTACAACAGATCCACCTTGCTCTTCTGCCTTCCTCTGTACTTAACTGAGGTCCCTAGTGCCTTACATCCCTTATTCCTTGAGTACTCCATGACTTCTAATGTTAACACCACTCCCTTTCCTTGACCAATGAGCTCATTGAAAATACCAGTCTGAACACTGTCATCCTAACCTACTTCTCAGGGTACCAGATACAGCTGCAGTATCAACATCCTGATGGTTCTTTCAGTGAATTTGGTACCAGGGATGAGTACGGTAATACTTGGTAAGCCTTGGCTTGTCTTCTTTCTGTCCTTCTGCTGTCTGAGAGCTTTCTGCTTCCAGCATGGAATCCCTTTTTGTCCTATTGGACACAAAGTCTTCCAAATGTTTTTTTGTGCAACCTATCAATATCTTACTTCTTTTGAGATGAAGGATGACACTGAACTGATAAACTAAGAATAGCCCAAAAGTAGGTGAGGAGGGACCTGAAAGTTTCAAGCTCCCACTTTTGTTTTCTTCATTTACTGCTTATTTTCTTTCTTTCTTTCTTTTTTTTTTTTTTTTTCCTTATTCTTCCTTCTTGCTCATTCGCTCAATCTCTTTCTGTTCCTCTTTTCCCTCTCTCATGCCTTTTTTCTGCTCTCTCCCTAATCAGGCTGACTGCGTTTGTGGTCAAATGCTTTTCCCAAGCCAAGCCATACATTTTCCTGGACAACAGGAGCATCCAAGCTGCTTTCAAATGGCTGGAGTTCCACCAGCTTCCGAATGGCTGCTTCAGAGATGTGGGCCAACTTTTCCACAGAGCCATGAAGGTAGGACCCAGAGAATTTTGAAAAAAAATTCAAAGCAGTTCTTACTGGTAATTGATTTATCTCACTTTTCTGTTGTGTTCTGCTTTCTTGCATGGGAGAAAACCAGAGGTAGGTGTGATGTTTCCTGAATAGTTTCAGGTATTTGTGTATCACTTTTCCCATCTTTTGGACATTTATGCTTTTTGTAGGGAGGTATGGATGGGGAAGTTCTCTTGGCTGCCTACATCTCTGCTGCATACATGGAGAGAGGAGATACACCAGAGGTAAATACAAGAATTCTTTGCTATGCTTTTGCTTGAATTCTGGAGAGATTAGTGGAGTCATTGAAGCAGGAAATAGATTACCTTAGAGAGGTTTGTGAACAAAGTAATCGACCAGGAGATGATGAACTTACCACTTCTCAGGAAGAAGACTCAACTACCCCTCAAGGAGGATTCTTGACAGGGGAGAATATGAGGTTAGACTGCTACAGGGGAAGAGCCACTGTTACCACCTGTCTGAACTTCAGTAAGCCTTTGTCAGTCTCCCAGAGTATATCCTTCTCTCCATATTGGAAAGATATGGATTTGATGAGTGGATGTCTGACGGATGAGGAACTGGTTACAAGATCATACCCAGAGAGTGGTGGTCAATGGCTCCTGCCTCTCTATTCTGCACTGGTGAGAGCTCACCTAGAGTACTGTGTACAGATGTGGAGTACAGAAGAGACATAGACCTGTTGGAGCACATTCAGAAGAAAAATGATCCAAGGGATGAAACATCTCCTGCACAAGGACAGGCTGAGAGCTGGGGCTGTTCAACTTGAAGAAGACTGCCTTTCAGCATTTAAAGGGGAGTTACACAAAATAAGGAGACAGACTCTTTAGCAGGGGATGATAGAACAAGTGGAAATGGTTTCAAACTAAAGAAGGGAAGAGTTAGAGTGGAAATAAGGAAGAATTTTTTGCAGTAGGAATGGTGAGGCAGTGGAACAGTTTGCCCAGAGATGTAGTGGATATTCTGTCCTTGGAGATATTCAAGATGAGGGTGGGGCAGGCTCTGAGCTACTTGATCTAGCTGTGGATGTCCCTGTTCATTGCAGGAGAATTGGACTAGATGACCTTTTAGGGTCCCTAACTCAAATGATTCTATGGTTCTACCTGGAGCTACTGGTTCTCATGTCTAAATACCATGCCTATTTCCCAGACTTGTGCTGCTCAGTCCTGCTCCCCTCAATAACTTCACAATCTCTTGCTACCCACTGCTCTGTTTCTGCTTAAAGCTAGGAATAAGGAATTATAGAGGAGAGAGAGATAGGTGTGACTGCCACAGCTAAGTGAATAAACATGACATTTGTAATGTGTTTCATCTTCCCAGAAACTGGAAATGTGGGAAAGGAGTGCTAGAGAGAAAATGCTGTAAAGTAGGGCAGTTGGAATTGTACATCTAGTTAATAATAATAAGGGGGAAGTCTTGCGAGATCATAACTAATTACTAGGCAGTGGTACAGGCAGTTAAAATATATAATCAAATTGATTATAGCACTGCTATAGACTTGGAGAAGCAAAGTTCTCTGGAAATAAGTGAAAGACAGCTGGAAATTAATTGTCTTCCTGACAAGTGTCTCTCAGGCCACCTTTTTCATTTAAAGGAAATCAAGGATTGGTAGAGGTTGATTAGAGTACTTAGTCGTCTCCATCATTGGAGGTTTTGAAGACCTGACTGGATAAACCTCTGAACAACCTTGTCTTATCTCACAGCTAACCTTGCTTTGAATAGATGTTAGATTGCAGACCTTCCAATATTCCTCATAATTTGAATTATCTGTCATTTGGTAATTCCACGAAGTGTCTTTGGCTGAGTTGCATAGAGGTGACTTTTCATGAAACTGGATCACAAGTATTTGAAATGTACTGTCAAATGTAGCAGAATGAAATACAAATATAAGGACCTTCATTCTGGTAGAAAACTGAAGAGGGGAAATCAGTAAGTGCTGTAGATATACAAATACTAAACAGGCAACCACTCCAAGTGTTTGACTCAATGGAATGGTGCACTGAATGCTGAAATGAATTCTGTGTCCTGCCAACAGTACAGTATTTCAAGGGAAGCTTTAAGTCCCACTGATGTAGAGAAACTGAAGAGCTGAATTGAACCCAGTAATCTTGCAAGCATTTGCAACTGTGTGCTGCTGCACTGTTGTTCAAAGTAAGATGTGGTGGTGCTATTCTAGTAGTAAGGGAATTCATTTCATTGAGAGAAATCCATGATCATCTGTGGGGGAAACCTCTGTCAGGCGCCTTGCACTGCGGGCTGGAGATGCTGCTTGGGGATGCTGAAGTGATACAAAGAGAAAGTGCAAACTCAAGTACAAGGATATAAGGGTGAATATATGGGTTGCTTTCTATGCTAGCGCATACTAATGCATTCCTCTGCTTGTGTAACTCAGCATTTGCACGCCTCATGTGTTTGCACGTGACCAATATCAACATAACTCTTCTCTGTAGAGTACAGTGGTACGCAAGGCTCTGGGATGTATCATTCCTTCCCTTCCCAAAGCTGCCAGCACTTACACACAGGCTCTGCTGGCCTACACCTTCGCCCTGGCTAAGGACTCTCAACGCACACAAAAGCTTCTTGACATACTTGATCAAAGCGCAATCAGAGAAGGTATGGGAGACTTAGTGCCAGACAAACATCAGAAAAAGGATAGGTGACCTTTCTGAGCCCCTTGGTTACATGCAAAATGAAAAGACTGGTTACTTTCTACTCTTTTGGTCTTAATTTCTGTCCTTCATCAAAGATAGTTTTTTAGACAGTCTGCTAGCCTAAGGTATGTTTTGGCCATATTGTGCTGTGGGTGCTAATTTCTTTCAAAGCTTTTGACCTTTTCTGGCACCCAGAGTGGAGGTTGTGCTCTGAAAAAAGTTGACTTTCTTAAGCAGGACTGCAAAGTGCAAAGTGCTAAGCAAAGCAGATTGGCAAACTGCCTGACTTCTTGTTATTCCCTGACTGTCAGGACCAGCTAGTGGGTAGCTAGCTAGTATCAGTCAGCTAGTGTACCTGGCAAACAGGAAAATGGAAAAATCAAATGCTGATTATTGGCAAGTTACTTTTTTGCTATCACTTTTATAAATGAGTCTTCAATGTGTAATACATAGTATTGGGTATGGTCCTTGCACACAATCTCTGTGCCTTTTAGGCCTCAAGATTTCTTCCCTAGTATCCCTCAATGTCATCTACCTCCTTCCTTTTCCCAGGTGGGCAGATCCATTGGAGCCAGAGCCCATCCAAGACACACAGCACTAGCCTTTGGTCACAGCCACTATCTGTGGATGTGGAGTTAACAGCTTATGTCCTTCTGGCCCTGCTCTCCAAGCCAAATGTCACAGAGGCTGATTTCACCACAGCCTCTGGCATTGTGGTCTGGCTCACTAGACAACAAAATGCCTATGGAGGATTTGCCTCAACACAGGTAACTCAGGGGTGGGGAAAGTAACAGTGTCTGAGAAAGATCTCTGCAGAATCTAGTGTGAAAAAAAAACTGAGTGAACACTTTGAGGAGAAGAACCCTTGTATACAAAGGTTCTCAGGATGGTGAATTCAAATGTCTTTGGTCCTCAGAGCTGTGGAGCAAATGTTCACACCTATTTCTTCCTTTTCAGGATACAGTAGTTGCCCTGCAGGCCTTGGCTAAGTATGCAGCACTGACACACAACACAAAAGGAGTTGCAGAAGTGAGGGTGAGGTCCCAGAGAGGCTCTGGGAGGAAGTTCCAAGTTTCCTATCAGAATCGGCTTTTGGTGCAGGAGATGGCGCTGACAGAAGTCCCAGGAAAGTTCTCAGTGCAAGCCCATGGCAGCTGTTGCGTCTTTACCCGGGTAGGTTACCCACTTCTCATGGACCTTTCTGTGTCAGCCCTCTGCTCATCATCAAAATTAATAGTCTCAGTTGCAGCTCTATACAAGGAGATGAGCTTTAACAGTGATTTACTTCTAGCTTGTTGCCAATGCAGCAAACCTGTGAGACTGAGACATAATGTGTCAAGAAGTGTTGCTTTTGTGACTCCTGGAGTATTGGAGGATGGAAATCTTGCATAGTGGTTCCCTGTTGTATGCTGAATGTTGTATGCTGAATGCTGTATGCTCACTTGGTCTCAAGGGGAAGAGAGAGGACAAGTAGTCTCAATTGGAAGGACCATGGAATTTTTCAATCCTGAATGACCTTTATTTCTGGTACTGTGAGTGTGCTCACTGCATCTATTTTATCTAGTTAGCATGGTCCATACCTTGAAGATTACTATAGTTACTGAAAAGGTATGACAGATTATATGAAACTTATTATCCATGTCTTACTCTGTCTTTTTGTCTCTCTCTGCAGACGGTGCTGAGATACAACATTCCCTCCCCACAGGTTTCCAAGTCCTTTGCCTTACAAGTGAAAACCAAGCCAGACAATTGCACCGAGAATGATGCATACTCTGTTACTCTCTATGTCAATGTCAGGTGACTTTGAAGACACAGGCTCATAGCCACACTTGGGGCTAGGTATGGCTGGAGAGCAGAATGTTACTTGGCTGCAATGGAGGAACCCAACAGTTGCAGCAGAAGGGCCATATGGCAGATGGAAGGTGTGGGAAAGAAAGATAAGGTGTCTCTGAGGAAGGGGAAATGGGGAAAAGTTCCAAAGTCTTGCCTGGGAGAGGAACGGAAGTAAACACCTCAGATTAGGGGTGCTCACAGCAGTGCAGCCACTGTCTACCCCATATGAGCTACTGCCTGGCCACAGTTCTAGCTGTGCTGCCTGGTTCAGGGTCCTGCATGCAGGGTAGTATGATGGAGGGAAGGGAGCACTGGAACTGGGTGACACCCTTCATTTGATCTTCTCCCTCAGGTACACTGGAAAGAGAGCCATTTCCAATATGGTGATTGTTGAAGTGTCCCTACTCTCTGGATTTGTCCTCGCTGCAAGATCTGGGATATCTGTAAGAAGCCTGGAATCAGGATGATGATGTTGTGTCAATTGGACCATCCACACACCCAATGGGAGGGGAGATTGCATAGGAACATGTTGCTTGTCTCTATCTTGAGCAATTTCGCCATCTCTTCCCTTCTGTCACACAGAAACATGAATACTTACTATTGTCTCTTACCTTGATCCTTGAGGATAGTGATCCTTCTGGCTCAATTGTATCCTTGACAGCCACATAGCCTAGACTTATATCCTTGGGTTTTGCAGGAGGTAAGGGGCCCAGCAGAGAGATCAACCTGAAGGGGTAAAAGCCCCAAATAAATTCACAAATATGTGAATAAGAATCTGCTTACACAGGCTTAGATAAACCCTACTGGGATTTCTCACACTCCCTTTTCCAAAAGGACCAACTAAATTGCCACACCTGCTCTCCTATTCTAGCCACATCATTGGTATCCTGTGAGAAGAACAGAGAAAACCCAAGCAGGTGTTGCCATCTACTTGGACAAGGTATGTGTGTGCTACTAGAAAAGTTGCAGGAGTGGAGGACTCTGGAAGAGCTGTGTGGGGAATACTGGCCTGGGCTAGCAGAGTAGAATTCATCTTGAAGTCTTGCATTTGCCTCAGAGTTTTTTGCCTATCTTCAGAGTCAAATTTAGGTGAGGAATCAAAAGAGCAGCTCAAAAGTGAACTGTCATTTGCCTTTCTCCCTCAGCTGAGCCATATGTCTGAGACATATGTTCTGCATCTGGAAAGGGAAATTGGAGTGACCAATCTGAAGCCAGGACATGTCAGGGTCTATGACTACTACCATCCAGGTGAGTGTGGTATTATGGGCTGCCAGGGCTCTCTGGGTATTTATGCTTGGCTTTGTACAAAGATAAATTCTGTCTTTCCTGTCCTGTTGCAGAGGAGCAGGCCCTTACTGATTATAATGTTTTCTGCATCTGAGGTAGGTGTGTACTCCACAAAGATTTTTTACTGTTCCCTTCCTCAACCACTATACGGATCTAGTAGCCTCATTATGTTTCTTCTCTTGCTGCCTGAGAAGAGCCTTGCAAACCACTGATTCAGCGTGTTCCCTTTATTTAGAACTTCATCTGGAATTTCCTGAGCCTCTGGGGATTTTATCACCTGTCCTCTGTTTTCTGGATTTTGTCGTTGCTATATTGCTCTGTAGGTGGGACATGAAATGATTAACATGTGCTCTTGCTATGAAGGACTAGTCACGCATTTTAAGGACTCTCCAAAGGATACGTGGGCTGGTAATAGTGCATGGGCCAGCTAAGTGACAGTGCTTGCAGTTTGCACTGTGACAGAAGAAAGTCCAAGCAGAATTCAAGGTATTAATTTTAGTTGACACTATTTGGATATGGAATAGAATCATAGAATATTCCAAGTTGGAAGGGACCGTGACAGTCATCAAGTCCAACTCCTGACACTGCTGAACGTCCCACCTTTTTTTCTGGGAAAAGCTGAATTAAGACAAGGGCACTTAATTAAGCCAGAGAAACACTGTCCGTGAGAGTCCTTACTGAGGATCTGCTCTCCATAGCTGCTAGCATCCCAGAAATAATAACTTTGGTTATGCTATTTTCTCTCTGATATGATTCCTCTTTTTACTATCATTTCTCCAGGGACATAGCCTGCTTTCTTACTGTCCACTGTTTCAGCCCACAGGAGTTCTACTAGTGGGACATGCCCTAGGATGGAAATTACAGTTACTGGTATGCTGGGGCCTGTGTCACCTGGAAAGTCACATCTCAGTGGACTTTGATACTGGTGCTGAGGATGATCTCAAATTGGATTTCAGGATGAAACCCAGCCCATGCCATGCTGCTCATCTTGACAGCCATTTTGGGGGGTGTTTTTTTGGGTGTCTGATTAATTCTGATTGCTTTAATCCAGGGATTTTCTTGCTTGTAAAAATAAGGAAAATAAAATATAAATCATAAATCTGGGTACTGTGGTGTGTATTTGTATTTTATAACAGAGCATATATAAGCTTTACTTTGGAGGAGAGTGCATAAGCAAACTTATGCAGAGACAGTGTAGGTGAAATGTGTACTTGGCATTTATTTCTTCCAGCACTTGTTTGGGCCCCAGAAACATCATGCAGATACCAATATGGTTTGAGGACTCTAGCCCTCCTTCAAGACCGATCCCACTAAATATCATGTACTACACAGAGATGTAGCTCAGTAGTAAGGTCTTGCTGATAAAAAAACCAAGAACTGCAGTTCGTGAAGTCTGTTCTTTATATTAGTATATGAAGAGCACCACTGGCTACAGCTTTGGCTATTGTGGAGAGGGAAAGACTCAGCACTGCCAATGCCACAGTGTTCTAATTATGTGTTTTATAGTATTTAGCAAAGCACAGGCAACGGATATGATATAAGTCCTTGTAATATGGAATAGAGTCTTATTGGCAAAGCAACTACTGTAGTGGTCATACATATGTGTATATTGTACCTACTCCTTATTAAGCGTAGGAGGTAGTTCATGATTGAATAGGAGGAGTTCACACCAAACAAACAAACAAACACATCTAGAATGTAAAAATTGCAGGTAGTGACATTTTTTACTTGCTATCCTTTGTGATTTCTACGCCCACTTTATTAAGAACTCTTCCACTTCCTTCAGAATGTTCTTTTTCAGACTTAAACTGTAAACTTAATCCTGTAGTGTCTGGCTCCTATGGAGCATTTAGAGGGAGGTGGCTGTGTTTCAGCAAGAAAAAAGTAAATACAAAGAAAAAAAGGAAAAAACTATTGACAAAAATACACTATTTTCTCTATGGCCTAGCCTTTACCTTCCTCGCTTAGAGCTGCAGATATCAAGCACTGCACTCATTTGTTTATCCTTCACAAAATTGGGAGATTTAAATGATTCACCTTGGAGACTTACTGCATGCTTCCACCTCCCTTGTGATCAGCTCTACTGAATACCTCCAGAGACACAAATCCAAGCCTTGTCCAAAGGAGAATTACTAAGATGGTAGCGGGGCTGGAAGGCATATCCTGTGAGGAGAGGCTGAGGACACTTGAGATGCCCAGTCTGGAGAAAGCTGAGAGATGACCTCACTGCTCTCTGCAGCATCTTGAGGAGGGGAGGCAGAGCGAGGTGCTCCTGGGAATGGACTACAAGCCAGGAGAGACACAGAGCTGCACGAGGGGAGGTCAGACTAGATATAAGGAAACAATTCAGAAGCAATCACTTCCTGGGTGCCTCGTGGCCAGGAGTAGTGATGGTATTGGTAATAGGAGATGGAGTCGGGGCTGAGTTGGATGAATGTGCAGAATAAGACTGCGACTTTGTTTTTGCTGCTCCAGCATTTGTTTCATGCTACTTTCATTGTCTGTGAGTTAGATTGGGTTGTTTGTTCAGTATGTGAGTTTCCAATCAGTAATAAGTCCAAAACTTCAAAAATATTTGAACTCCACTCACATAAAAGAGTAGGAGCCAGGACTCCTGGCTTTGACATAGTGAAGCCGTATGCTGTCGAAAGGGATCTGGCTGTACCCTGAAACAATTGTGGGTCTACTGTGAACTAACAAATGTCATCTGAGATTGTTTAGCAGGCACTGTCTGTACTTTTTAAGAACCATGGAAACAAATTAAAGGCAGTCCAGTGTCAAGAGTGATTCGCTTCCTTGCTCTGGTTCCTGTTGATTTGTTTATCCAGGTGCACTTTCACCTTTTTTTTTTCTCTACCACTGGCACCAGAATCACTTAGCTGAAAAAAGTTCTCAAAAGAAAATAAATATATTAATAAACAACATAAGTTTTATTTCTGCCCACTTTGTGAAGAAAATAAACATCTTTTTTCCCCCCTTTTAATGCACCAGTCTTTCCAAAATAAAAACAATATTCCTAGGACCTAAGTATTTAAGAGCTTAGTGTGACAACTGAGAACAAATCAGTGATGCATTTTGATATAAACATGAAGAAATTCCTTAATTTAGGAAGTGTTTCAAGAAGCAGAATTTATTTTGAATTGTGGTTTCATATTCAGGTAGAAATTCAGTACAAACAACAGATCAGCAGGTTTAAAATTGGCATGTGGAAGAAGTTCCCAAACTATACATAATATTGGAGCTGTTGGAGCAGGTCCAGAGGGGTGCCACAAAGTTGATCAGAGGACTGGAGCACCTCCACTACAAGGACAGGCTGAAAGAGTTGCAGCTTTTCAACCCTCAGAAGAGAAGGCTGCAGGGGGAACTTAGAGTGGCCTGAGGCCACTGAGACCTGCCTGAGGATATGCAAACTTAAAAAGCTTGGGGACAGCATGACCAAAGGAGTACACCTTGAGCTCCAACTGAGGGCACATTGCCAAGGAGTCGTGCAACAATCTGTCTCATGGCAAAACAATGGAATAGAGGCTGCAGCAGGAACAAGGAGCAGGGTCAGAGCAGTGAACAGGAAACAGACTATTGCTTAGCAAAATTAAAAGCAAACTGCTCTGAGTGATGCCAGTGCATCCACGGGGGAGTAGGAAAGCAGAGAGTTTGGATGCCAGAAAGACTTGGATTGGCTGGGGAACATTCAGAATGGTACAACCCTGAACCTGGAACACTATAAACATAGGAATGAGGCACAAGGAATGAAACTTTGGGGCTTCTGTCTGCTTCCTGGGAGAAACGGCAACAGCAGCAGGTGGAGTCCTTGGAAGGAGAGAAGCTGCACATCATCTTCTCTCCTGACCTGCCCTCCACACAGATCTACCTCCCTGGAAGTCTCCCAAGAAAATGTGGATTCCCTTCTTCCTCAGCTGCCTGGGCTACACTGTGGGGATAATGGCACAACCGTAAGTGCCATTTCAAGATCTAGAGATTGATAGTTCAGATACTGAGGGAGGGACCAGGATAGCAGGGAAAGAGCATGGGACACTATGAGGCAACTCCTACGAGAGACAGATACAGGATGGTATGCAGCGTGCCACAAGCCCTGTTATGAACAGAATGCTCCTGAAAGTGACAGCCTTTCTTTTGGATATTGCTGCAAGAATTGAAAGTGTAAGGAGTGTTAGTGGGAACAAGAAGAGCAATAACTTCTGTCTGAAGAAAACCGAAGGGAAAGGAAGGGAAAGCATAAAAAGTAGCACCAAGATCTAGAATTGCAGGGCTTGGGATAATTAAGCAGGAACCAGACTGCTGCCAAAGTAACTGAGGAACCTTCTTGAAGCAAGGAAGGTGGATCCTTTCCTATTGAGGGTCTGGAGTATAGCTGTAGAGGATCTTGCACTTCTGATGTAAGGTCAAAACAGATCCAGAGTCATACAGAGCTTTGAGATCAGAATTAGACAGCTGCAGCCTTCTGAATAAACACAGCAGGTTTGGTTTTGGATCCCAATCTGAACTTTGCAGTTTGTTCCATCTCTCAGTCCCATAGCACTGTTCCCTTTTCCACGTGTACAGAGAACTCCTAAAAACAGTTCCCTTTGCAGAGGTAGAGATAGACTCAACTGTATTTGTTTCCTTGTGTTACTGTAGCATACTTCAAAATTCCATACACACCTCTGTAACATGAAGTCATCTAAGAAATTCCTCATGTATTTACCTGAAATGTACTGTAGCTGTTCCATCACTTCTATGAGTGTTTTGTATTCTCACTTCTAACCATTTCTCCCTCTCCCTCCAGCAGAACAGCTGCTCCTAGAAAAGAGGTAAACCCTGCTGCTTCCTCAGGTCATGGATTATTAATATCGAGACAGAGTGAGACTAGCTAGATATCTTATTTTCCCATTGCAGGATGTACCTGATCATCCTTCCAGCTGAACTGTCCTTCCCCTCTTCCCAGAGAGTGTGCTTGGACCTCCGTGGTGTGGAGAAGAGTATTCATGTGGTCTTAACACTTGTACATGGATCTGGCAACCTCAGCCTCTACAGCAAGGTTGTCCAGAACAACTGGATCTTTGAGTGCTCCAGATTTCAAGTAAGGACTGTTCTTAGCAGGGGCTTGTAGCTGACACCTCCCAGAGTTCTGTTATGGCTCATGACTACTTTTGCCAGAGAAATGAAGAAAGAGGACGATGGGAAGAGAGAGGGCATGGGAAGGAGTTAAAGAAAAATTAGGTGGAGTGTAAGTGGAAGCTTAGTGTTTTTCCTTCTTGTCACTGCATGATATTTTTCTTGTTGGATAACTCACAATCCTCCTTGGTTCATCAGTTCATCAAGAGAAGGGCTGCCTGGATATTCACCAAAGGTCCAAATCAGACAGAGGAGCATAGAAACATTCAAGTGACAGCTGTGTGTCTCATTCTCCCCACTGAGAAAGAAGCATTGTCACAGTGTGACATCTGTGAGCTGTGATACAGTAAGAACCAGACATTTTGTCTCAGATAGTGTCCCACCACACCTCTTGAAGCACTGTAAAATATGCTTGAGGACTAGGAAGAGCGTAGAAGCATGTCTACACAGGTTCAGCACAAGGCTTTTTGCACTGCCAAACTCATGAGTCTTATTTTCTTTGTGTGAACTAACGGAACATGCTGTGCTTGCCTCCAGAGTAGGGTGGAGAGGAGGATGGCATCGAAATTCAGGAGATGGAAGAAGAGCACCTACTATGATGCCATCTTGTCCTCCTTGACTGTTCCCTCCTAACCTGGTCACTTCCCTTTCCTAGGTCCCCAAGCCTGCAGGTAGTGAGGAGGTGGGCACTGTCCAGCTGCGCATCTCCAATGGACAGTACTTCAGTGCAAGGGAAGAAAAGCAAGTCCTGATCCGCAAGGCTGGCACTGGCACCTTCATCCAGATGGAGAAACCTGTCTATAATCCAGGACAGACAGGTGAGCACTCTGCATGAAGCACCCTGACAGGTTGCCTTGATCTGTCTGGACTTCGTTCCTCTTTTTCCCTGAGGTGCATGTTCAATGCTTTGTGCCATGTAACCTTTATGGGGACAAAGGAGCAAGATGCCTGCTGTTGAGGCTGCTACTGCCTGCTGGGGTGATGCACTAGTGCACTGTGTTTTAGGGAAGGGGCTTCCCTAAAAGAACAGAACTGGTTTGGGTGAGTGAACAGTCATAAATATTGCTTTTCCCAAATCATGGGGTTCCAGTGAGGGCCTGGCAGGACTGATCTGCACACATCTGCACATCATGCACACAAAGAATTAGATGAGGAGCTCAGGGTACAGCTTTTGCAAAAGACTCTAATTTGTTAGAGTTGTTGTTAGAGACCAGCTGCTGGAAATGCACCTTGCACATACCCTTCTTTGTCCTGGCATTACCTTGTCCATGTTTCCAGGCTGGAGACAAAGCAAGACTTCTACATCTCCTCATCAGGCTGTGACTCCAAGCACTTATTTGCACTGTGGTTGAGTGGAGCCAGAGGGTGAGAGAGAGTGCCAGAAAGCGCAGCAGGAGCAGGACAGTATATGGAGGGGAGAGACAGCCTGGATGAGCAAGTGCTAAGAGGAGATTGCTGGCAGGCCTGGGGGTGCCAGCAAGCTGTGATTTTGGAGAGATACGTGTGCAATGTAAGCGTCTGCCCATATGTCCCATGTGTCTGCAACATGCTCTTTTCCCTTTTTCCCCTCAGTGAAATTTCGGATAGTGACACTGACTGAAGACTTTGTTCCTGTTAACAACAAGGTAAAGCCTAAGTGCATGCCTGGAAGCCTGTAGACTTCCTCTGCCAAGTCTGTTGCCTCTGCCAAACCCACAGTGTGATTGCTGGTTGGTCTGTGTGTCTGCAGTACCCAACAAAGCAGACAAAGACCTGTTAAAAAGCATTGCAAAGTACAATCTCATGGCTGAGTTGGTAGTCTCAGCTACTGTCTGGTGTGAGCTCTAGCATGGCTGCTGATATTTGAGAAGCATACCAGCATGCTCTGCTAGTTGAGTTAGTGAAGCGCAGCAGAGAAAATTCATGCATTTGTCCCATGGCAGAAAAGCATCGGATTTTTGGGAGGGAAATGCAGGCTGCTGGTTGTAAGCATAATTACCAGACAAGTTATGCCTAGGCTCAGCCAGAGCCAGACTTCCTCTCCTGCAGCTTTGTGGAGTGTGTTATACCTACAGACAGCAGGAGGATTTATAGCAAGACAGGGTCCATTTGCAAAATTTTAAGAAATATTGATATGGGAAAGGATGTATATGAACTGATTATTAAAAAGAGAAAAGAGAGAAGAGTGTATAACCAAATTTTACTGACTTGCTTCTGGCAGTAGCACATTCTCCCTAAATCAAGGGAGTGAGAAGTTGCCAAAGACTTGAATAGGTGCTAGCCAGGAAACTGCAAGACTAGCAGCTTCCTACGGTAAGCAATTATACCTTCTGCCAGAAGCTATAAATGTTTCATGTTAGTCTGTCCTGAAGCAATTTAAGGAGAGCCAACAAGAATTCATGCCATGACAGATAAATACTGAGGGACATAAATGAGCAGAGTTAAATCAAATCTCTAGTCTGAAATAAAAAGAGAGATTCTTATGTCTTCTTTGGTGCTGACTTCATTTTTCCTTTTTTTGTTTCTTTGTTCATTACTGATGAGAGCCTAGGACCATGCCCTCACTTTCTGCCTCAGAAATTGAAGGCATCTATTTTAGATAATAAACAATACCTTTACTTCTATGTCTGCATTGGTTCATGAAGATACTTGGTCATAAATGCTTGTTGCCTATGAATATGAGAAAATGACAACTGTAACTGTTAATAATGCTGTGATGAAAATGCGAGAAGAGGTCATGTTTAACCAAGATTATTATGAGGCTTGAGCGCATAGCAGCATTAAAGCCATAATATCTCATTTGTGAATTAGATGGATTGGTGATAACACAGGTGCTGTTGACTCATGTCTTATTTTAGCACTGACATTATATTCAACTACTATGTAAATAGTTAACCTGTATTTTTTTTTCTTCCTGAGAAAACAAAACTGCCTATCATAACTTGCATGAAAGCTTAGAATGATGAATAACCTGAATCAAACATGGCCTTCTCTTCACAGACAGGTTTCTTTTTCCAGTCCACTTATGCTCCATTCTCCCTTCTGCCTGCTTCCTGGCTGATAGCTGTGGTATAAGAACAGAGTTAATGTTAATAGACATAGAATGCCTTTCTTTGTGCCTGCCTATTACTGCCAGCTAGAGTTAGCAGCAGGACATATCTCCAAGCCTTAACTGCTAGGCCAGGGGCTTTAGAGGAAAATGTGGAGTTTATTCATTTATAGACAATGCAGTTTTCTATTTGTGAGAAACTGTATTACAAAATGGATGCCTTTTAATACTCATGAACTTAGAGTGATCGTGTTGGTAAGTCTCTTTACTTTTCTCCTTTCTTTATAGTGAACTACAGCTTCCAGGGTCACAGAATTAAACTTGAATACATCTATCAAAGTGCATCTTAAAAATTTAGGAATAAGAAAAGAAAACTCAAAAGCACAGCTTTTCCTGTTACGTTTTATCCTTATTTCAAAACCTTGTAGGATCAAGCTGCTTGTATGCAGTGTTTGGGAATGGCAGTGTTGAAGTAGTACATAGGCTAAGTGGATAGGTTTGTAGACAGGTTTTTACATCACACCGGATTCTGATACTGATGTCTGTTTGCTTTGCAGTACTCCAAGGTGGAAGTCCAGGTGGGTATGTCAGACTCCCCAGGTGTTACGAAGAAGGAGGGTACTTCAAGATGGGTATCTAGGCCATTATCTTAATATGTAAGACAGAGCACATATGCACCCTGTCCACATACCTTGTAGCAAGAACTGAAGAGCTAAATCATTCAGCCTACATTCCTTTCTGCATTTAGAACTCCGGATAGACTTTAGCTAACTCTTAATGCTTATCTTTACATAAGGCTATAAAGTCTAGTTGTCAAGACCTTTTATACTTTCTTTTTCAAAGGCAGTACAGAGCAGGTAACCCTTGGTGCGTTGGGCTCATCGCTGTTGGAGTTCCGGTGTTTGGGTTGCTTCTGTACCTTTTGTAGAAAACTAGCATGGCCTGTGAAAGACTCTGAAATCTTTCAAACTTTGAATCCAGCGGGCTTTGGTATAGAAAGGCATTAGTGACTACCTCATTTCCTTTCCTCCCATTGCAGGACCCACGTCAAAATCGCATTGGCCAATGGCTGGATGTGAGACCAAAACAGGGCATGGCAGATCTTTCTTTCCCGTTAGCTTCTGAAGTCTTTGTGGGGACTTACACAATCAACGTAGCAAACCCAAATGTGTCCAGTACTTTTCAGGTGGAAGATCACGGTAAGATGCAGTACAGAGAACAAGGAACTGTATGGAAAAAATGCTTATTTCTGTCTGTATAACAATATTATAGACAAACACAGTAAACTAAGATTTACTATCTAAGATTCAACAGAAATCTATAGAATAATTCACCAGTGGACAATATCAGAAATGCCAACAAAGGATGTTGTACTGCAGATTCCTGAAGAGGATATATAGTAACAAGTAGGATAGCACAGAGTGAAAGTACACCTAAAACCACTGTGACTCTTAATATATTATGAGGAAAAAAAAAAAAAAGAAAAAAAGGGATTCTTCCTTTAGTTTCCCTGGTTTTAGTTAATCCTTGCTTTCCTCTCCTAAACACGTTCCTCCATGGGACTGCAGTCTTATGATAATACACTCTTCCCATTAATGATCTCACGTTTAGGTAGACTACTGCCTTTGATGAAGTAACTCTGTTTTTTTGTTCCAGTGTTGAAAAAGTTTGATGTTTTCTTCAAAGGACCAGCTCGGATTTATGCTTCAGATAAAACTTTCCTTCTGAGTGTGTGTGGCAGGTGAGGAGGCAATTCTGGAGAAGGGAAATCATGACTGTTCCCTCTCTTGAATCCAAGAAAGAGAAGTGGCTCAGGAAGAGCCAAACACGACCTTTTTTTTTTTTTTTTTTTTGGAAAAAAAAGAAATCATAATTAGTGCAAGAGTCAAACTGTAGAGTTCTTATTTGGGAAATATGTTCATGACCCACACCTGGGAGAGACCATCCAGCTATAGTCAGACTTGTTATAGTCAGGAGATAGCCTGTACTGGAAGCTGCATGTGTCTGACCATGAAAGATATGATGTGGGGAAACATGCATATTTGATATGGAACCGATCTGTTGAGCTACAGGATCAGGAGCTGATGTTTCTTTAGAATATAGTATTAAGTTTAGCAGCATGAAATATTTCCTCCTTCAGAGCAATGGGTAGATTTTTCTCATTCTGCAATCACTAGCAAAAACTGAACATATGGGAATGTAAAGCAGAGGTCTTCCGCCTCAGAATATATGAGCATGAAGGAAGAAAGAATGTTCTAGAAAACACTTCTTGGACAGACAAAAGAGGTGATCTGAACCATATTTGGGGCTGCATTGTCTTGAAATTATTGCTGCCTTTTTGTTAATGGACTGGCATAATTTCTTATTAATTGGGACGTTTATCATAAGAGCATATGAAGCACTAGTGGAAAACAGTACAGTGCTCTGCATCCTCAGGGTGGTTTTTGAACGTTCTCCTGTCACTGGTACAGTCAGGAAACACTACTGTAAAAAGACGAGAATACAGACAAGGAAAGGAAGGGAAACAGGACAAGCAGCAGAAAAGTCCACACTGATGAGGTCTAGGTTCTGCTGTGGCTGAGCAACAAAAATGACAGCAGGTCTGATAATGAAAACAAGAGTTGAGATTATGAAATAAGCCCATAGTGAGGAGAAAAGTCTGAGGTCAATCTTGCAAGTCAGGTCAATGAGTCAGGCTGAGGAACAGTGAGGTGTATGGCTTGGTATAGGCATGCCTACAGTGTAGCTCACAGTCTGGAGCTTAAATACAGGTCCCAGATAGACAGGTGCCAGTGAAGCTTCTAACAGCTTTTACTATAAGATCACAAAGCTTCAGCATATCAGAGCTGTCTTTCAACCAAAGCCCTGGAAAGGAAGGAAAGAGATTGCAAGGAAAGCTTACTGGTACATGGAAGGCTCTGGCAGATACTGCTGCAGAAAGTCTTCCACATCTGCAACTAAACAGACCTGTTAACAGACACGTAGAAAGTCAGTTTGCTGAACAAACAATAGATTTTCAAGCCACTGAGTATGAGTTTTACATTTGTTCTACCAACCATTCCATCACCTCTTGATTTACAGCGATGTAGTACTCAGTGTGACAGTGAAAAATGCTTCTGGTGGATGTGCTGGATAGGATGCATGCACTAGGGTGGGGAGAGGGAGGGGTAGAAACACTCAAACTGTCTTTGTAAGGCCAACACCAGGAAGGAACATTCTGTGAAATTCTACTACTATCTGCAGCAATAGACAGATCAATACAATGGGAAAGGTATTACAACAAAGGTGTGATGACAGAAGAACCAGCACAACAGAAAAGTGCTACAAAGGAAAAGAAGATAACTCATCCATACCAGAAGAGTCTACATTTGCAGGAGAAAGCTTCACCAAAGAGAAATTTCCATAAAGAGATCTTTCCCCAGAGGGGGCCACTGCTTAAACAAGGTCTAAAAGAGGTGCAGCCAGGCTCCACCCCTTCCACTCACACAGCTGACTCAGCCTTCACCTGTGCTCTCAGAGCTGACTCAGTCCTTTTCCCAGGTGCTCGATCAGTGTTTCAGGCCACGACTCAGCAGTTCCCATACACTCTCACACCATCTTGTTGATGTTTATGGGGAAACAAGCTTCTGCTTCTTGTATATCTGATCTGTAACTACTGGGTGCTGTGTGGACACATCAGCTTAGATCAGCTCTTTGATTCTGCCTGCAATTCCAGGACACTAAGCACCCAGAAGTGGGAGAGCATTGGAAAGTGTGGTCGCTCTCCTGCCTAGGCTCCATTTCTGACCATCTTATACTTCCCAGCTATACGTACTGCTGTATTTTCACTTGTTCTTGTTTGCTTACAAACTACATTAAGACCTATGTCAGGATGTCCACCTGTGTGGAATAATATGCTCAGCAAACCATACAGCAGTTCTCTGCATGGCAGCTCATGTGGTGTTCTCCCTGCAGGTACAGTTATGGGAAAGCGGTGAAAGGAACTGTGTGGGTGACTTTGTGCCAGAAAGCAAAGGGGTGTCCTCAAGATGTCAGCAAAGATATCTGTAGAGAATACAGCGGTCTGGTGAGTATGATCCTGGAAGATATATGGGTACTGGAGGACTATCACATAGGACCATGTGTCAAGGGCTGTGAGAACAGAATGAATTGCTACTTAAGGGAGGTTTGCCAACCCCTATAATGTATCTGTAGGCTAATAAGTAATCATTTTTATTCAATTAATGCAATTATTGTAATCCAGGCCAACAGACAGGCTTTTATTGCTAGAAATTCTTTGTTATTTTTATTATAGGTATAGGGAACAGAAAAGAGGAATTTCACAAGACAAAACTTGAAGAAAAGAAAAAGAAAATTTGTTCTTTTTTGTAAAGAAGTATAACTAGCCAGGAATAGACACAGTGTAAGAAACATCAATTAATAGAACTTTTTCAGATACAAAAATACAACATTATGGTGCACCCTCCCTGGAGCTGCACAAAAATGCCTATGCACAGGTGTAGACAAGGTTATTTCAATAGCCAATTCACACAGACACTTCTTTTTACCTTTTTTTAATTTATTTTTTTAATATTCTTTCATTTTTTCCATCCCTAAAAAGAGTATGTTACAGTTGGATCCTTCCCTTCTGCATAAATGATTAGTACTTTTCATGCTTTATGATTTGTCATTATGATATGTTATGGTAGTTGTAACCTTCCAGGTTTGAGAACAAATACTTTTATTCTGCAGATTCATTTTATTTCTTCAGTTCTCTCAGTCAAGTCTCTTAAAATGCTTGTATACTTACTTTGTGATCCAGTTAGTGCAGCCTTGAGTTTCCTACTAAAGCTGGAAAGTTACCAACATTGTAACTTTAATGTAGCTGTGATAAGTGATCTGTTTATATTTCTACGATATGAATTACACATATTCATGCATATAACATTAAGATACTAAATTAAAAATGGTATCAGTGTATATGAGTCCACATTCTTACTTACTGCAATCAACAATTATGGCAGAATGTCTAATGTTGTGTACTTTTGATTCCTTCCCTTCTCCCCAGCCTCCAATTATATCTACTTTTTCCCATTGCAGACAGCAAGAAAGGGTTGCTTCACATCTTCAGTAAGCACAACAGTATTTAATCTGTCTCCCAGTGAGGAAGACAGCAAAATCTATGCAGAAGCTTCTCTCCTGGAGGAAGGCACAGGTACCCAGAAGCTTACAATCGTCTGAAGCAGAGATTGTACAAGGATGAGAGGGTCCTTTCCTGGAGATTAAGCATCAGAGGAGGCATACCTCCTCCTGTACTGCGATGTGTTGGGGCCACTAGAAGACTCAAAGGGTGCACATGCTTGAGGAACTTGGTCTGTCCAGCAGCAGGCAGGTGAGGTGTGGCTGGGCATGTGATCCTTCACAGCTTTGGAACACCCACACAAAACTACCGCAGGAACAGCCTGTACACCTTGAAATGTGCTAATTTAGGAAGGAAGCCTGAGGCATTCCGATCGGCAGTCCTGGGAATAACAAAGTAAGATTAAACTAGGTGGTCATTTCCGATACTGATCTTGCTTCTCTACCTTCCAACAGGAGTCCAAATCAACACATCCAGCCAAATTGTCATTTCCAGGACAGCTGCAAGTGTTGTGTTTGAGACACCAAATGCTTACTATATCCCTGGAGTACCCTTCAAGGGGAAGGTGACTTTTCCCTTGCTTCTTCCCTTCCCGTTATTTACAATTGAATTTAGTGTCAGCAAATTTTCCTGACCCAGACCATTTTCTGTTCCTTAGAGTAGCTTATCTTACAGTGTGTGATGTTACTTGATGGTGCAGTATAGCTCCAGTTTCTGCATTTCAGGTTCTCTCATGTGATTACATCTGTGGCTTCTGCTAGGATTAGTGAATGATTTTTGCAAGTATTTCTCAGCTGTTGGCTAGGGCCTGAATTCCTCATGCTCTAGTCACATGCTCTTTTTGGAGAAGATAATTTTAAATCAGCCTCAACTTATCTTCAAAGATAAGGGGGTTTTACAGATTTCCTATCTTGGAGTCAGATTGAAGCCAATGCCACCAAAACAGGAAGGCATGTGTGGGAAGGAAAGTTTGAGGTATGACACTGAAACACACATCTGAACTTGGCTTTTCTGTCTTCCCTATTCTCACCAGATTAAGCTTCAGGACCACTATGGAAATAGTATGAAAAACAGAAAAGTTAATCTCATTATAAAGTTCATGAGGCGTCAGCTTATTAAAACTTACATCACAGACAGCAGTGGAAGAGCATCATTCAACCTGGACACAACTGCCTGGAACACCTCCTCAGTCTCCTTGGAGGTAAATTCCACCTCTGTATACAGGAAAATGATAAACCTTGTGGTTAGTACTTCCACTCCTGCCCTGCAGTCCCCTGCCAGTTCAATCCTGTGCTCCCCACACAGCTCTGCCAGTACAGAGCTATAAGAAAACAATGATAAGACTTTTCCAAACTGAATGAAGGGCATCTTAACAGAGCTTTGAAGTATGTGTCCTGTGTCCTGATTTCTGTACATCTCTGTTTCCATCCCAGGGAAGATTCACGCTGGAGAATGTCACGCAAAAACCTTGGAAAACTAGTATCAATTATATAAATGCCTACCATCATCTGCAGCCCTTCCACGTCACAACCAAGAGCTTCCTGAAAATACACCCACTCACAGGGAAACTGCCCTGTGGGCTGAAGCAGAGTGTCCAGGTGACCTTCACACTCAGTAGGGCTGATGTGGGAGAAGACACCAACCGCGTTGATTTTGCATATTACGTGAGTAAGGTAGACAAGAAACTAGATGGGGGAAGATAGCGCCTATGAGACCAGACCATAGTGAAGTATTATGTGTGTAATTTAAATCATCCCTAAAGTGATGACAATATGGGCTTGTTCATGGGGGAACTCTACACACGTGCAGAGCTCAGACATCCCTCCTGCATGGATGGGAGGAGACCTTTGCAACTCACTGTACCCTTATCTTCAGCCCATTTTGCAATGGGAGATGGAAATGTTTTAAGCAGAATCTGTTCTCATACTCTTCTCTCTTTGAAAACTGGATGGAAGGATCACTTTTCAAGTTGGTTATCAAGCAGCTGCTCAGTGGAAATGGCTTCTAGTTTGGAAACATGCCTGCTAGAGTGGAAATACCTTAGCTCTCACTCTCTTTTATTCAGTGAATCCACTACCTGGACAGATCACACCAGAATCTCATCTATAAAAGCTTCTTTTTCTCTCCCACTGTGGTACCTGTAAATCTGCCAAGCCTGAAATATGAAGATGAATTGGACCAACAGTTCATTCCTGTGGTTGCTTAACAGTGCAAAATGCACACAGATTGAGCGTAAGTTTGCCCTGGTTTCAAACAGCAATCTCCTCATTCAGTGTTCTCACCCTTCAGGTCACTGGAAAGGCTGGCATTGTCAACAGAGGTTGGAGAAGTGTTCAGGTTGGAAAGCTGAACAGTAAGTCTGCAGTGGCCTGGCTGACCTACAGGAAACAGTTTGGCCTGTTGGGTTTCTAGGTCAGATGGTGAAAGGTGCTGGAGTTTCTCTTGAACTGCCTGAAACTACAGCTCCTGGGCTGTCAGAGAATAGGACAGAGGGAGATGGAGGAAGTAATTGTACCATCTTGGAGAGGAGAAACAGCAGAAAAAGAATTAATGAAGGGAGGAGAGACTGGGAAAAACTGAAGAGATGGAGTTCATGGGGTTAGAAAGTGGAGGGAGAGGGCAAACAGAGCAACACTTTGGTTTTATTTCCTCAGTGCTGAAAGGCTCTTTCTCTATCCTGCTGACCTTCACTGCTGACTTCACCCCTTCACCTTGCTTAGTGGTGTATACTGTCTTCCCTAATGGAGGAGTGACAGCTGATAGCATCCGTTTTGATGTTGCCTTGTGCTTTCAAAACCAGGTGAGACTCACACCTAAAGCTGAGGGAGAGCTGTGCCACGTATCCGTCAGCCTCCTCATCTTTCTTACTCTCTTTTTCATGCTTCTTTTTGTGGTGTGTTGCTCAAGGTCAAGGTAGATTTCCCAACTAAAGAAAGCCACACAGGGTCAATAGTGCAGCTCCAACTTGAGGCAGCCCCTGGCTCCATGTGTGCAGTACAGGCAGTGGATGAAAACGTGCTCCTCATGAGACCGGAGAACGAGCTGACAAGCCAAAAGGTGAGTGCAACTAGCCAAAAAATAAAAGCAGGAGTGATGTGTGAGCTAAGAGAGATAGGCAGGGACTGTGGCAAAGGGAACTGGAGGCTAATGGATGATTGTGTAGAGAAGTTAGAGTAGGAAGCAGGATCTGCCTTGACAGATGGCAGCATGTGTGCTGGGGAGGAGGATGGAGTGAAGCATCTGGAGCTATCTGCTCATTGCCTGATTCTTCCCTGCCTGCGAGTTTCTCTAGGTATATGGCTTGTTCCCTGCTATCTACAGACATGGATACCCTGCCCAAGTTGAAGAGCATTCAGATCACTGTTTTCAGCCCCAGTTCATGTCATCTTGGCGCCAAGGAAAACCACAGCATCCCTTTCAGCCTGATATTTTCAACCTCTTCTGGGTAATCAACTGTATATTTTCCCAGGGCTACCAAAACTATGTTCATCTGATACATTATTCTTCCCAAGAAATCTGATAAAACCTTGCCTTCTCCAAGCAACTGTTGCATTCTGTCCTGACATAGCTGTGCTTTCTCAAGAGATGTGAGATACCATTATTAGTTTGAGCACCTTTATTTCCCCGCACTGATGCAAAAAGAAAGTTGATAAGGTCCTGATCTGGCAGAAACCAGATTTATGGATTTAGGAATGAGGTCATGGGCATGTGTAACGTTTGTTTGCATTAGTAGAGAAGAGACAGACAGGGAATGGTCCCAACCAACAGATTGTTTACATGACCAAGTCATTAGCCTTCTCTCTAATAGTGTTTTGGACTCTTCCAAGGTAAATCTGCTTTCTTCAAGGTAGATGTCCTCTAGAGATTACAAATAGAAATTAGAGATTACAAATAGAAATGACTAGACTTAAGCTGTGTGAATACAAGACTAGCAGTGCCATTTGGCCTTGGACATGAGGATCAGATCCTGTTCTCTTTTAGCCACATCCTAGCAGGCTCTTTTACAGCACAGGAGTTATTCCTGTGTTTGTGGATATGCATATTGTCACAGCTTTAGAGGAAGAATGAGGGAGGAAGCTTTTCATCACAGCCTGTGTTTCAGGTGGCAGATTTAATTCCAGCTATTCCCTCTGGTGCACATGAGGGGAAGGGAAGTGGCACTGGCAATGGAAATGTGTTAAGAGGAGCAAGGTAACTGTCTGTCCCACAGAACAGAGGTACTTGTTTAGTAAAAGAAGGGACTGGGGCAGCTGAACCTTACTTCCTCAGCATGGTGTCTGTCTGGGCAAGTGCTACTTCTAGCTGCCTGGGAAACTGGCTTTCCTAGCTGTGATGATTTTCAGAGTCATTTTGAGGAGCAGTGCTGCTCTTCCCCACTCACACCTGCTTTTCTATTTCCGTTGCCCTCCTTCTTCTTCCAACAGGACATGGGTCTGAAAGTCTTCTCAAACCTTGCAATCAAGAAGCCAACTCAGTGCACTCAGCAGGCAGAGAGGAAGCCAACCATGGGTGAGCTGTACTTTCTGCCTACCCTTGTGCTGGGGTCTGAGGTCACATAGGTACACAAGCTGTCTGATCACTGGAGTTTGCCAGTGGTGAGGAGTATGAATGATGCTGTCACAGCCTCACTGCCAGGCCTATCAACCCTCAGTAGGAATGCCTAAGTTACTATAAAAACAAACAAACAAGCAAAAAAAACATTTGAAATATGTCACTATCTGTGTGTTCTCTGACGTTAAAGGATGATGCTCCATTTCCTGATACAGACAAGCCTGAGCACAGACTAAGATCTGGAAGTGTTTCCTAGTGATTATACTAGGCTGTGCTGTGGCCTGGCTTGACCCCAGCCATGGCTATGAGGGCTGTTGTTTCCTTCTTCTGTCTCTCAATTTGCACAAAATAATATTCCCAAACTAACTCATCTGCCTGTTGATATTTAAACTACAGTTGTTTGCAAAGGGCTGTGAGTTTTCTGCAAACAAACAGGAATAGTGTTCTGCACAGAATTAAACACTTACACTCACCTTTCTAAGAGCACAAGAGCTCTCTGTCCCCCAGAGTAAGAAATAAAGCAGGAAACCAGCATTACTGAACAAGGACCTGCTGGTCTTGTTCAGGGCAAAAAAAGGAAAAGTATAAGCAGTGGAAGCAAGGAGGGGTGGCCTGGGAAGAATATAGGGATGTTGTCCAGATATGCAGGGATGTGATCAGGAAAGCCAGCACACAGACAGAATTTAACATGGTAAGGGATGTGAAAAATGACAAGAGGAGATTCTACACTGGGAAGAAGAGACAGACAAAGGAGAGTGTACCCTCTCTGATAAACAAAAAGGGAAAGCTGGCCTCCTCAAATATGCAGAGGACTGAAGTTCTTAATGAGTTCTTTGCCTCAGTCTTCATTGCATGGCAGGCTTCCTATGCCTCTTGTGTGAACTTCCTCTGCCTGAACTTCCAGGCAGGAGTGAAGAGAGCAAAATTCCTCCCACTATAAGACTGGAGCAAATCTGAGACTACCTCATGAGGCTGAATGTGTATAAATCTATGGGGCCAGATGACATGCATCCCAGAGTTCTAAAGGAACCGACTGATGTGGTTGTCAAGCCACTGTCCATCATATTTTAAAATTCGTGACCGTCAGGTGAAGTCCCCAGTGGCTGGAAAAAGGGAACATTTCTCTCATATTGAAGAAAGGGAAAAAAAGAAGACTCAGGGAACTGCAGGCCAGTGATCCTCACCTCTGTGCCTGAGAATATCATGGAGCAGATCCTCCTGGAAGACACGTTAAGGCATGTGTGAGTTGAGAAAGTGATCCAAGACTGATAGGATGGCATCACCAAGGGCAGATCAGACCAGGCAAGAACAATCCAGTGGCCTTCTATGGTGGAGTGATGGCAGCAGTGGACAAAGAAAGGTTGCAACTGATGTCATCTACCTAGACTTGTTTGCAGACTTTGGTCAAGTCCCATACCACATCCTTATCTCTCAATTGGAGATATAAATATTTGAAAGCTAGACTATTAGGTGTAAAAATAATTGGTTGGATGGTCACAGTCAGAGGGTTACAGTCAATGGCTCTATGTCCAGGTTGCAGCCAGTGATAAGTGATGTTCCATAGGACTTTGACTCATGTCCAGTGCTCTTCAGTGTCTTTATGATGGACAGTGGGATTGAGTGCACCCTCATCAAGTTTGCAGATGACACTAGGATAAGTGATGTAGCTGACACAAAAGAAGGGAGAGATGTTATCCAGGGGACTTGGACAAGCTCAAGAAGAGGGCACATGAGAATTTAATGAGGTTTAACAAAACCGAGTGCAAGGTGTTGCACTTGACTTAAATCCCAGATAAAAGTACAGATTGGGAGAAATTGTTGAGAGTAGTTCTGTGGAGAAGGACTTCGGTATCCTGGTCAACAAAAAGCTGGACATGAGCCAGCAGCCTGCACCTGCAGCCCTGAAGGCCAAGTATATCCTGGGGTGCATCAAAAGAGGAGTAACCAGTAAGGAGAGGGAGGTGATTGTTCCCCTCTACTTTGCCCTCATGGGGCTTTAACTGGAGTACTACATCCAAGCCCGAGGACTCCAGTTTTCAAAGGATGCAGAGCTGTTGGAAATTCAGAAGAGAGCCATGAAGATGATCAGAGAAATGGAATACATCACTTATGAAGGAAGGTTGAGAGAGTTTGGCTTGTTTGTCCTGGAGAAGAGAAGGCTCCAGGAAGACATAATTGTGGACTTCCAGTACTTGAAAGTAGCTTATAAGCAGGAGAGGAACCTATTTTTACATGGTCTGATAGTGGTAGGACAAGGGAGAATGGCTTTAAACTAAAAGAGGGAAGATGTAGGTTAGATATTAGGAAGCATTTTTATACTCAGAGGGTGATGAAGCACTGGAACAGGTTTCCCAGAGAGGTTGTGGATGCCCCATCTCTGGAGGCATTCAAGGCCAGGTTGTGTGGGATACCGGGTAACCTGATCTAGTGGCTGGCAACTTGTCCATGGCAGGGAGATTGGAACTAGATGATCTTTAAGTTCCCCTCCAATCTCAGCTATTCTATGATTTTTTGATTCTATGGTAATGTTGGTTGAAAGGGCCCTCTAGAGATTCATTAATTTTTTAGCAGCAACTTTTGATCATGTCAGCAAGGGTTTTGTCTAGCCAAATCTCTGTAAACTTCTAGACCTGCCAGCAGTTTCAATGAGCAATACTCATGCCTCATTGGATATGATACTGCCACTGATTCTTCCGTTACCATTTTTCCTCCTCTTCCTATTTTCCCTTTCCTACCAAGTCATCTCACTCTCTTGTGTCAGTTTCTGTCTGACTCTTTTCACTTACTTTGCCTCTTGCCCCAGTGCTTGACTGTCTGTCATTAATAGGTCTCATCTCTGAATTCCTGCTGTAGTGGAGAACTTTAGTTTTTCTTTCAGGGGTATCTTCTATGGAAGATCAAAGAATTACTAAGGAACAACCCCAGTTTACAACCCAAGGAAGATTTCAGAACTCTTTGCCTGAAACTTGGATCTGGAATCTCTTCTTCGTTGGGTAAGTCATGCCAGACTTCACAATCAGATGGAAGAATGAACCCTCGTTATTAACTTGTATCCATTCAAAACAGCACTCACAGGTGTGAAGAGAGGTCTCTGTATGAATTTTATGGCTCTTCCCTAAACTTACAGTGCATCCAAATGAAGGACTAGTGGTCTTTGAGGAGCAGAGCTCCATACATTCTTAGAAAAGACCAGTGCTTCTCATGATCAAAATACTGAGTATCCTCTCACACACTAGTGAACACTCCACTTAGACTTCACGATTTGGTGGGTGCATCAGTTAAATATGTAGTCTTTGTTGCCACAGTGCTTGCATTAGGACTAATCAGCAGTCAGGGGAATGTGGTGCTGCTGCTTTCCAAAACACCATTCTGTTGACTTGAGTGTACAGAGCTGGAATGCTGGTCAGTGTGTTGTTTGGGAAAAGAATATAACATCATTGCTAACAGCATTTAAGAAGGAAATACGACTTCTGGGAATAGATTCAGAGAGCTACATTGCTCTGAGCCATTGGAGGGGAAGTAACTTATGACAGAGCAGAGGTTGATCTGAGACTGAGTATCTGTACTGCATCCCTCATCTGAGACCTTTGAGCTCTTCCCATTGCAGCGAGATTGATTTATGGAATCAAACTCTATAACCCAGAGTTAGGTTATAAAGCAGGTATGTTTTATTCAGCATTTGGCGCCAAACTGGGTGCAAGGGGGATAGCTCCTCCGAACTCGCACCCCGTAGGACAAAAGCGTGGTACAGATACAGGCTGAACTAATACATAATCAGTGTTTTTCCTGGAATTCATATACTTATTCATTACATTTCCGAGAACCCACCAGCATACAGGCCCTCCCTCTTGCACGTGCTCCGTGGGGGTCTTCTTCTGGTGGTCATGGGATGAAGGCTCATTGTCTTCAACCGAAATAATCCGATCAGACCTGTTCCTTGTGTGATGTTCTCTTTAAGTTTACAATGGAGTTTCAAGATGTTCTTTTCTTATCTGGCCTCACATCCTGCTTACCTGCATTTCTATGCAATAGTTAACCCTTATCTTATCCTCTCTTTACTCACATTCCTATGCAATTGTTAACCCTTATTTACTGCACATTCTGCTTGCTACATTCTTTTGTCTTGTCTTCCTTTACAGCTGGCCCATGTTTACCCTTCATCCCCTAACTCAAGATGGGACAAATTTATTTATGCAAGTGCTCTCCTCTTCTCAGTTCCAATGGCAGCAGGAGCATTCCAGTCATGACACCTGATGCTGTCACGAAGTGGAAAGTCAAGATGTTCTGCTTGTCTGGGAGGACATTTGGCCTTGCTCCAACCACAAGTCTCAGAACAGTCCAGCCTGTCTTTGTGGATGTGACACTGCCATATTCTGTGATCCGAGGAGAGACTTTCATGCTGAAGGCTACTGTCTTCAACTACCTACAGCAATGCCTACAGGTAATGTGCCTGTGCCACAGGAAATACTGTATGGGACAGGTCTATCAAGCCCTCCATTTTTACGGAACATGTACCACCTCATCTTTCCAGAGCTGCTCAGTCATTCTCCTGTATCATCGCTCTTTCAGATACATGTGGCCCTAGATAAATTGCTGGACTTCCAGGTGGAGGACTGCCAGACCTGCAGGAACAGAGAGTGCTTGTGTGTGGAAGAGTCCAAGACCTTCACATGGAATGTGACAGCAATCCAGCTGGGTGTGGAAGGAAAAATGGGAGTAGTGATTGGGAACCTTAAAACTGAAGTGAAAGGGGGGGTGGGAGATCCAGAAAAGCTGGCAGAACCTTCAGTTTATCTTTAGTAGTACAAGAATGCAAGCCACTGTACTTGCTTTCTTTTTCCTGTCTTAGACAGGCTCTTAGAAGAGGGCAGGAACTGAATGGGTGACACAGAGGATTCCTAGGGAGAGAGATGTAGGAGCAGCTGGGGAGAAAGAGGCTTCACAGACTGGAGTGGGGGAACCCAGTGTGGTGCTATACTTCATATGAAATGGGAAGGCATCACTGGAGACCAAGGAGTTGAACTTTCTTACACTACAGTCACATGTATTGGATTACAGTCACTGTTGGTGAGGCATTACCTTCATACTTAAGCTGTCTGAACAAGCTGTCAGCACTGACTGGCTCTTCTTTGCCTGTTAAGCCACTAAGACTATGTGGACAGGCTTCCTTCCAGACCTGAGACCACTTTTAGTTAAAGTTTGCCTACAGACATATGAAACAAGCTCTGCTCAATTTATTTGCTAGGGACTCTGAATATCACAATCAGGACTGAAGTACTGGACACAACACCACGCTGTGGGGGAAGGAAGCCCTTGCCAGCTACCATGAGGCGGAGGCATGCTCTGATCAAACACTTGCTGGTTCGGGTCAGTATGAGAGTGGATTCGTTTCTCTTCCAGACTATCTTTGCATGAGTGAAGGGAGGTTGAGCTGTGCTAAGCAGTTTTCTCTCCTTTTTTTTTTCTTTTTTTTTTTCTTTTTTTTTTTTTCTTTTTTTTTTTTTTCTTTTTCTTTTTTTTTTCCCCAGCCTGGTCTTTAGTTTGCTTTGTTTTCCCCAGGACCCAGTCAAGCCTATTCCCTCTTTGCATTACTCTTTCTTGAGCTGCATTTGTATGCCAAACTGTGTTTCTTGCCTTCCCTTTGTGTTCAATCATCTGCTGTTCATTAATTTTTGCATACACGCACTGAGAAGAGAGTCCTGTCTTGTGGGCTTACTTTTGATTTCTTAATCAGACACTTTCAGTGCAGCCCTGCCAAAGGTGAGGAGGATGGAGTCCTTAACAGCTTGTGGACAGACCCCTCAATTCAGACCTAAAACTGCTCTCCAATTTTTCTGCTGCTTGGGAATTTTGTGCATTATCTTGTTCCTTACATCTCATGCCTTTATTTTTGCCCTGGCAGCCAGAAGGTGTGCTAGTGGAGAAGTCTTACAGCTCCCTTTTGTGCCCAAGAGGAGGTATGTAGACAGGTTGAATGGGTCCTGCAGACTGAAAAGAAATTGACTTGAGAACAGGACTGAACTGCGGGAGAGCTGATGAAAGAATATTTTCACATAGGAAATTTCATTTCTTATTAGGACAGAAAAGGACAGGAAATATTACTTCTACACTTGCTTCCCTGTTGAATTTGCCCCTGAGGTGGCAAATTTGTGCTGTGTTGCCTCCTTTCCCACTGAACTCCTGGATGTTCCTGAAGCATGATAATCAGTAAATGAGGAGCTCCTGCCATATCATCCTGCAGCACTGCAAGTCCCTCTAGGATGTCCCCAGCTAGTAATGATCAGCTGTGATCTGTGTGGAACTTGTGAAGGATGGCAAACTGAGTTGCGAAGCTCGGTGATCTCTCATCCTGTCCAGCACCTCTCAAGTTATTTCTAATCAGAAGTTTCCAAGCAATGGAGTGATGACTGGGACAGCCTATAGAGAGCACTCTGCATAAACAGGATATAGGCAATGTTCCATTTATCTGTTCCAGTGTTGCTTGTCAGATTAGGGACTTTAGATTTGATTTTTCATACTGAACCTTTTCCCTGTTATCAGGAAACATGGCTGAAGAACCTGTGCTGATTCACCTCCCTGATAATGTAGTAAAGGGATCTGCCAGTGCATCAGTTTCCATCTCAAGTAAGTCAAGTAGCTCACTGACTGCTATTACAGAAGAGCAAGGTCTAACTTGGTAACAATGTTAGGGTATCCATTTGAAATGATGCTGCTCAAAAGAGAAGACACTAAGTTTCACTGCTTTGTAAGATCAGACAACACCAGGTTTTCTGTATGTTTATTAGCTCTTCGATTTTCATGGGAAAACTAATTTGCAGAGAAGAATAATCCTCATTTTTTTCTGGCAAGGACTTTGGAGCAGAGCCTGGAAAACTAATTTTCTGTGACTTTGAGAGTCTGGCTAGTTTTTGTAGATACTATCTTTAAAATTCAAAACTATCTTATTCTCCATTAAGTTTCACAGCAATAGTAAAAGCTACTAGAGAGGAGAAATCTTTCTCAGCATTGCTAAGCTGCAGAAGAGTTATTGGGAGAGACTACTGGGACCAGACATACCTACCATTCATTATGCTTCTTTGACTTGACTCCTTCACCAATGACAGAACTGGTATTAAGCTAGGCCTGGCATAATTCCTCAAATAAGGGAATAAAACACAAGAATTTTCTCACTGTTTGAGGGACACACAGACACTTTCATGCCATCTGACTAGCACCACTACTGGCTTAGTGATATTTTGATGTTCAAAACATGGCCAGGTAGAATAGGCTACCTAAAAACCCAAGTCATCTAAAACTTTGTCTAAGAGCTTCTATACCTGTATGTCTGTATGGCATTGCCTGAGTAATTTTAGCCCTGCTCATAGTATTTTACAACAGCACCTGCTATGGTTGGAGCACTTCACACTGAAAAAGTTCAGTGAGAACTCCATAGAGGAGTTGTCCTGTGTCACATCCTCCCAAGAAAGAGCAGATGCAGAATAGTCATCTTGCTTCATTCTGCACTCAATTTTTTCTTTCCCTTTTCTAGTATTTTCCTTCTTTGCTGAGATAACACACTATTATCAAATTCCTAGTTGAAGATTATCTCAAATTTTACTTAAATTTGCCTTCTTTCTTATACTGTTGCACAGGTGACCTCATGGGACTGCCACTACAGAACCTGGACCGTCTGGTGCAGATGCCCCATGGATGTGGGGAGCAGAATATGGTTCTGTTTACTCCCATTGTCTATGTGCTGCAGTACCTGGAGAAGACAAGGCAGCTGACCCCTGTGATCAAAGAGAGAGCAACCAGCTTCTTGCACAAAGGCAAGTACAATAGATTCACCAATGTCCCCCATGTCCAATGTACTAACAGCTTTCTCCCTGCCAGTCATTCTGTCAGCGCTGGCCTTTCTGAATTACTATGCTTTATTAATCCTTGTTCCCATCTCCCCAGGCTACCAGACACAGCTTCTTTATAGGCATAGAGATGGGTCCTACAGTGTCTTTGGGCAGCAGGATGGGGAAGGGAACACTTGGTAAGCACTGGGAATAATTCTTGTTCATAATTTGTACTGTCTGGGCCAGGGCAGTTAATGTGCCTGTGAATGGCTGGTAGGATGTGTGTTCTCTGTTTTGGAGACAGATTGAGGGATTTGAGACACTTTAAAAAGGAGTCAGGCAGGGCAGCAGAGCTGCTGGGAAAGTGGAACACGAAGGTATCATCTCAGGGGGCAGGAGATCCCTTTTTTTCTCTGTGGACCCAAACACAGCATCAGGTTCTTCCTGTGATGCCCAAGCAGCCAAGAGGGGTGCATTCTGACTGGAGAAGCATCAGGGAAAGGCAATGAGAAATTGTTTTCCCAGTGAGGGAGTTACTTATGAGAGTTTCAAAGAATTCCACTGTCATTGTGATGGCTGGGCTGGGAGAAGTGAAAGGAATGGAGATTCAGTATTGTCTCTGCGTACTCAAGGGAGATGAGGTGCAAGAGGTAAAAGTAGAAGGCCAGAGATTTTTCATTTGTGAAATGAATGAGTAATGCAATAGTACATGCATGACTGCGTGAACCAAGGGTGAGGGAGAGGAGTTACTTTTCACTTTTAGCTTGCTTTTCCTGTGAAAGAGACATTTTTTAAGCACCTACAGTGTATCAGAAGGCCTCAGGAAAAATCAAATGCCTCGGGAAGCATTAGTCTTTCTTTTTGTGTTTTTGTGTTTCTATTTCTCTCACAACTCATCCTCTTCCTAGGCTGACAGCTTTTGTAGCCAAGAGTTTTGGCCAAGCCAAGAAATATATCTATATAGATGACAAGAATATCCAGGATGCCCTGCGCTGGCTAGAGCAAAACCAGCTCCCCAGTGGCTGCTTTGCCACCAAAGGAAATCTCTTTCATTCCTCTCTGAAGGTAAATGAGAGCCAAGTCAGGAAGCACAGCTGGGGAATGGTGGAACAAATATTGTGGTGGCAAAGGGTTGTGGGATCCTGGAAAGTCACTTCCACAAATCATGCAACCAGTCTGAAAGAGAACAGGGTTTGAGGCAGGGAAAGCATAAGAAATGCTTCTTCTTGGAAGTCACTTTCTGAGCCCTTCAAACGCTACTTAGAGAGTGAAAGGTGCTTCAGGTCTTGGCACAGTCTGGGAGAACACATGTGAGAGCTGTGGAATCCATGCTTAATGAGAAGCTCCAGGTGTAGTGGTGTGTCTCCACCTAGATGAAATCTCTCACCTGCAGAGTATCTCTGGCAATTGATGGCTCCTCACGGTTTGTCCCCTATGTGTGATATCTGGTGATGGATTCCCTCCACAGGGCAGCTTGGATAATGAAATCTCTTTGGGAGCATATGTTGCTGCAGCACTGCTGGAGCTGGGTCAGCCACTGAAGGTGAGCAGAGCCCTGCTACTTGCTGTTGTCCTTTTCTCTCCTGTGCCTGCTCCCTGCAGTGGAGAAAAACGTCAAAACCCTGGGCTCCTGCAGACCATAAACAGATCAGGTGCTGCTAAGAGGGTCCCAGTGTTTGGTGAAATTGTTAACTCCTTCTAAGAGACAGCACTGTAACATTAGCATAAAGCAATAATGTTTGGTGGCTATGGTTTCCAGTGCACAATGGGATTGAACTACTTTCTTTTTCCTCGAGAGAGAGTGGTAGTTTAGTGGGTTTTGCTGGAGCCACACTTTAAAGATAAAGTCTGGCTCCCTGGAACAACCACCAGAAAGAGTCTGACACTTTCTTTGTACCTCAGAGTTTGGCATATGTCTCTTCTATGAATGCAGGGCAAGTTGATGCGGACTATCTTCCACTGCCTACAGCATGCAGTTCACAACATCACCAACACATACACAGAAGCTGTGCTGGCCTATGCTTTTGCCCTGGCTGGAGACTATGAGATAACCCAGGAGCTACTGTACAAGTTGGAGGAACAGGCCATCAAGTCAGGTGCTGACTGTTGGGGCAATACCTCTTGTTCAGTTGCTAGGATCTGGAGTAGTGTGTCTGTGCATTTTGCTTGCCTGGAGTTTATAACCAAATATGCTAACCTATGGAAGAGGCTTAATGAGGGAAAAAAAATACACCTGCTACACTTGCATTTGTGTTGTAACTGAATCACGTTAAATGCAACATATTATTTAGGAAGCTATAAAGGGTAACTTACCAGAATTTTTTTCCTCCGCCTGGAGAACTTAAAAATCCTCTTGTGGGAGGAGATGGGGTTAGAGTTTTATTTCCTGTTTCTAGAACCCTCTGTTTCTTTCATTTCAGACAGCCTCTCCTTTTCCTTCTGTAGGAGGGCAAATACACTGGAGTCCCAAAACAAGCTCCCCAGCTTCCACCGACTTCTGGCATAGTACCCAGTCAGTGGACATAGAATTGACAGCCTATGTACTCCTGGCATACCTTTCCAAGCCACAACTAAATGCAAGGGATATGAAAACTGCAGCTGGTATTGTGGTGTGGCTGACCCAGCAGCAGAATGCCTATGGAGGCTTTGCCTCCACTCAGGTAACAAGTAGCTCCATGTGGATTCATCTACTTTTCCACTTGAAGTTGACAGGGCAAGCCTTCTTAAGGTCTTCCTGTTCTGATCTGGCCTCACTAGAGATAATACTTTCAGGGAAGTGACTGTTTCTCCCTTCCTAGGACACAGTTGTTGCTCTGCAAGCCTTAGCAAAATATGCAGCAAGGATGTTCAGCACATCAGGCCAAGCACTTGTGAAGGTGAAGTCACAGAGGGATTTTGGAAAGACATTCCAAGTCACTCGCCAGAAACGTCTCCTTGTGCAGCATGCAGAACTGACAGAGATCCCAGGGCAGTTCTTGGTGCAGGTCCAAGGCAGAAGCTGTGTGTTTGCTCGGGTAAGGAGGTGAGGTGAATGTGGGAGAGAGGTGGGGAATTCTGTCTCTTCTCATTTCATGAGATCATTCCTGGTCTGTCTTTTACCCCACCTCACAGACAGTGCTGAGGTACTATGAGCCAACTCCACAAACCTCCATAACCTTCAGTCTGCATGTCAACACAGAGCTGGCCAATTGTAGCCAGGCCAATATGCATGTTCTCACCGTCCACATTCTTGCCAGGTAACCCTAATAACTATTTCTTCCTCCAGTAAGACACATGCTTGCAGTCTGCAGCTGGAAAAGCCTCAGAGCTGCAATGGAGGGACTGGACACAGGCAGGGGAGAGGGTGAAGCTGGCAGGTGGACGGGATGGGAAGAGAAATAGATGCCTTTGTCTCAGTCCCAGATAGGCTTCCTGGCTTAGGATCCTACATGCAAGATGTGGTGGTAGAGAGGGAGTTGGGAGGATTCTGCTCTCCCTAAATCAGACCCTCTGACTGTTTGATGTTCTTCAGCTACACTGGCAGCAGAGGCACATCCAACATGGTGATCATGGAAGTCTCCTTGTTGTCTGGATTTGTCCTAGCTCCAGGATCCAGGAAGTTGGTAAGGGGTATGGAATAAAAATAAAAGTGCCTCTGGTAAACATGTCCCACATGTTTGCTGCTATTAGGAACTATTTATTTCAGGCTATGAGGTAACTACATTAGTAGGGCACCCTTTGCTACTGACACTGAACCAAAGACATTCATTTCAATACATGTCCTGCAAGGGTCTATTACAAGAGGTTCGCTTTCTTCTACAAGAGGTGGTTCGCCTTCTTCCACTGACACTATTCTGGACCAAAATAATATGCTGTTGGATTACTAAATGCCAGCATTCATTTGTGAGAATTTTTGAAGAAAGATTTCTTAGAGAGGCTTTAGTTCTAGCCAGTAAGATACGTTTTTTTCCCAGTTCATCTATGAAATTGAATGCTGAATTATTCACACAAACCCCAGACAGGTATTTAAGAGCATTCTAGTTATTAGTGAGATAAGATAACAACAGCCTTTACTGGTGCATGCTTAATGATCAGTCCTATATACAATGCACTGCCTTTTGTCCCCAGAATGAGAAGTTCCTCTGAGTAGGAACAGCGTAGTTCACCCCTGAGATGAAGCTTGCAGGAGATTCCCCAGGAGGGACCACTGAAGATAGAGCCAAAAAACCCCTGTGTGTGCAAAAGACATAGTCCCACTCAGAGTCCAGTTCCACGTTATGTCCACGCATACAGAACATGGACAACAGTTCCTCAGATCAGCACTCCATAAGGGAAATGCTCACAAATTTCTTTGTTGTTTCCTGTCCCAGCTGGAGCGCAAAACCATCATTAAGAAAGTAGAAGTGAAAGCTGATGTCATCTACATTTATCTGGACAAGGTAAATGAAAATGACAGCATTAGTTTTTGGCATACTGAGAGCAGGCCAGAGGACAAGGAACTATATGAGAAACCCAAGGCCGTGGTAGAGAACACTGATAAAACTGTGGTGAGAGGAAGCTTGCCTATTTTGTTTGGTTTTCCTCACGCACTCCATTTCCAAAATCCTGAATCTTGAATGGATGAGTGAGATTTTGTACAGGAAAGAATTCAAGCTTAGGAAGATGAAGATTCACTGACTTCTTCCTTCCTCCTTCCACTAGCTTAGTGATGAGTCTCAGACTTTGATTCTGCAACTGGAACAAATAATTAAGATGAAGAATCTGAAACCAACCATCATCAAAATCTATGATTACTACCAGCCAGGTGGGTTGCCAATTTCCTTCCTACTCTGTATTTGGAAGCTGAATTCCTAGTTCTCTAGCTGTGTCCAAGCAAAGTCGTTGAGCACTATTCCTTGTGCGCATGTACATTTGTGTAATTGTCTTCCTCATTTCCTTTTGCAGAGGAGCAAGCCTTGGCTATGTACAGTGCTGTCTGTAGCTGAGGTAGGCAGCAAGTCCCTGTGTGATTCAAAAAGTGTCATCATGAAATGGTGGGTTTTGAGTGAGAGAGAGAAGAGAATGTCTGGGAAGAATATAAGCAATCTGAACCGGGAAGTGGTTAAGAAGTGGAGAGTACATATCCAGAAAAAATGAGGAATAAGCAGTTGTCTGTAACAGAGCATCTAGAACTAGGCTAAGGACAATTCTGTAGCCAGAGAGACAGCTGAAAGACTCTGGTGGCCTCAAAATGGGAGTGGGGAAGGAAAGACTAAGCATAGTGACTGCATCACATGGAATGAGAAGGCAGAGTTAACAAAGAGATTCCATTCCCTCCTGAGTACCTGCTACACTCATTGCAGGGTAGGAAACAGGGACTTGGGAAATGAAAGGAACAAGCTGAAGCTGGGACAATGTAATATTTTTTGTTGTGGGATGACATAACTGGCAGTTGGAAAGGGAATGGATTGTCAGTAGCAGCCTGAGGTGAGGACAGGTCTGGAACTATCCCTCCTGGAAGGACAAAGCAGAATTTTGGCATAGAACATGCTGTATCCTGACATCATCCCATAGAGCACGGTGGGAGTTTCCAGTTTTCCACTGAGGAAGGCCCAGGCAGTTTTGGGTCGTAAGTTGCAACTGCACATTTTTTTATTGCTTGTGTCCTTTATGCAAGCTCCTGTTCCATCAGCCTGCTTTGAAGCAGTCTCCACACAGTAATGCAGTGTAATTAAGACTGTAGCCCATCACCCCTACTCAGCAGTACATCCTTGCCCACTGTTTTTAGCAAAGCTCTTTGAAAGCAACTATTATGTTGTACAGCAGACAAAGTGTTGAACTTATCCCAGTCCCTCCTTGCCTTTGACTGAAGCTTGTGTGATGATCACAGCTGCAAAGTACAAACTCTGCCTTGAGGGGTTTTTCCGGTGCATGTCTGCTACTGGCAGGCTAGAGTTTTGCACTCTATGCAAACACAGAACAGATTTGAAGGAATTATTTTGCCCAGGTACTTCTAACCATGATTTTCCTGGTTTGGGAGAAAAATGCTGAAAAACGTTGAACAGTCACTCAACTGGATCATTCTAGTCTCCTGACTTTTAATAAGAGACCAGGCATAGTTCCAGCATTTAAGAAGCTAACAGCTCAGGAGGTTATTTTCAAATATTTTCTCTTTGCTTCTCATCTCCATGTAGTAGCTGTTAACAGGAGTGACGAGAGGAGTGATGGTCACAGCGACTGCAGAGATTGTCTGTTCCCGTGGAGACAACAAAGGACAAAAAGTCTATTTTCCTGAAATATTAAAACTGACCAATAGGAACTCTGTGTTTTTTTGTGTGTGCCTTGTGGCCAAATAGGACTGCCAAGTCATCAAAGACAGGGATCTCTCTGACTGTCCTCTGAGCATGTTTCAGCTACCTGCACAAAGTCTAGAGCAGAATCTTCACCAAGATGTGTGGGGCTTGTGACAGGCATCCCAAAGCAGGGCTGTGTGTCTCCCACAAGGTGACTTATGATGCAGGTGTTTTTCTCCATTTTCTGGGCTGGACTGCAGACAAAGACATGGGGAGATGTGGCAAGACTTATAAAAGAATTAAACACTCAGTTTAAGCATTGGCTTTACCCAGACTGGAAACAGGACAGATATATAGGAACTGCTGAGTCATGGCCTGAATCACTGATTGAGCACCTGGAGAGAAGACCTGATCAGCCCTGGAAGCACAGGTGAAGGCCTGTGCTTTGGTCACCTGTATGATCAAATAGGCTGGAGCCTGGCTCTACCCCCCTTAGTCCTCATTTTAAGGGCTGACTGCCACTAAGGAAGGCTCTCTTGTCAGAGTTCCCTCCTTTGTGGAGTTTTCCTGTGAGCCTGTATCTTCAAATATGGGTGAGGAACTCTTTTCTTTTTTTTTTTTTTTTTTTATTTTTTTGTAACACCTTCTTGTTGTGCGTATCTGAGGGTGGTCCTGCTGCCTTTACAACAGGTGACTGATTCCTGTCATGGCTTGGAAGCCAGTTCAAGGCTGCAAAAAGTGTGCCACTGAAAAGTCCAGCCCTGCAGTAAAGCTGGAGACAGCATGTGCAGAGCAACAGGAAGTTTACATAATTGGAAGAAAAATGACAGCAATAAGAATGTTTAGACTTGAGGGAAAATATATTCAATACAAAATGCCAGGACTGGTGGTAGGACTCAGGACAGTCAGCCCATTTTCTGCTATGCACTTCAACTCTGTCATGAACTGGATACCTCAAACTTTCTATTTCACCTTCAGTTCTTTTCCTCATTTAACCACTAGGATACAGAAATTCACACTGCAGGTTGAGGGTAGGAAAAAATTAGCAAGGCTAAGGGTGGAAAGTTTCTTTAAAATGGTCCTTGCCTGCATTTCACTCCCTCTCCCTGCTATTCAGAACTCCGCCTATGAAGAGAAAATAGGTTTTGGGCCCTCACCTACATGCAGAGGTTGTTCATGTTTGTTGTATCGGATCATATTTGTTTCTTCAAGATTCAAGAGAATATGTACCAGTGAGATAAAGGTTCCAAAAAATGACAGATGCAACCCACTGTTGTGCCTCTTTTTCTAGGAGAAATGACAGCTTACAGGCCATGACTCCCCTCTGTTGTGACACAGGAAAGCACTTCTATGTAAAAAAAGATTCTGTGCTGCAGCTAGCTGGATTCACCCATGTTATGGGACTTGTGATGTGGAGAAGCCATAAGTTCCAAATAGCTCTGGTATGGTTATGAATTTCTCAATTTGTGAAGTAATAATGATTCCAGACATATTTCCAGATTTTCTCCTCACAAAAGACCCCGGAGAATGGAGGACAAATAAAATTACTGTCGTTACTTTAAGAAAACCCCTTGCTATAATCCCTATTTCTTAGTTGCTTCTTAAAAAATGAGTGAACAAAAGCAGTACTCTGAAATTCTTGCTTGCCTCCTGTTAGAAGAGTTAGACTCTAAGTGAAGCCAGGTAACTCCAATCTTACAACAAAGAAAAATCCATAATTTGGAAGCCTGAAAGGGTAAATCTATCACCTGATAATTTCTAAGCAGCAATTTTAGCGTTACTGTTATCTTAGACTTGAAAGCGCGCATTCAGAAATATAACTTCATAAAATTCCTTCTGGTGTATTTTTATGTGATTTCTGTAGTACAGCATCTGATTTCACCTGACATGTAGTAATAGAAAGTGGTTATTTCCAAGCACAACAAGAGACACTTCTGCAGGATTATCTGCTTTGCCACAGCATTGTTTGAGCACACATACTCATCCTGAGAACCGAGATCTGTGACACATCTAAAATGCCCAGGTATGTCCCAGATTGAAGAGGGAAGGACTTTTCTCCCTGTCTCATTGACAAATACATTGACAAAATCAATGTATTCTGCTATTGCTCTCTGTTTGCACTACCAGTACTACTGCTAGCTCCCTGTGGTGACCTGATTTGGCACAGCCCTCAGGTCACTGTGGAGCGGGGCAACACTGACAGCACATGCTGCCTGAGTCATGATCTACTTGAGAGTGATTACTGTGGATTATGATATCTTGAATCCCTGGAAAAGTCTTGGGAAATTAGCTCAGAACTTTGTGCAAGAGACCATGATGCATCTTATAGAAATGAGGATGTTAAGAACTTCAGTGGTGAGCAGAGGCTGTGGAGTTGTAAGGGCTTTTTGAGGCTTTATTGATAGCTATAGTCAGTTCATGACAGACAGTTCTCCCAGTCAGACCTCTCTGTATGGGTTGTTACAAACATACTTCTTTCTGGTATCGTTCCTCAGCTCAGGTGGTTGCGGTCCATATTTTATTTTTCATATTAAAACTAACAGATTTGAAGGTCAATCAATACCCTGAGAGCTGTTTTAGGAAAAGCAGCTCTCTCAAGTAGCTGTGTAACTACAGCACTAACTGATCAAACTTTTATTTTCTGTATGTTACATATTAGAAATCTCCTTGGAGAAATTAGGATTTTCATAACTTTAATTCACAGGCTAGAGGGACTGAAAGTACTCTGACCACTCTAGAAAAGTGGGCTGGGCAGCTGACTTGTTCTCACTGGCACTGATCATTTACTGCAGAGGCCACTCTGAGATTGTTTCACAACACTGCACTGCTAAATTTGCACGGACACTAAAGCAACAAGAAGGAACCAAGGGTAATTCTCATTCATTCTGAGCTAATTGGCTTTCTGCATCCATATCTTCCCCTCAGTCTTCTCCAAACCTTTTTCTTCCTCAAGGGACAGCCAGGACTCTCAGTGAAGTAGATGCTTTTTACCCTTAGCTCCACTAGGAGGTGTTGTGGGAAGGAAATAACAGTCACTGGTCGAATGCTCTCTGTTCAGCCACAGATCCTCTTCACCCTCAGCACATCTGTATCCCAGCTATTGATGACTCTTCCTTAAGCAGTTCCCCAGGACTTCCCATGACACAACATCATGAGCAGTATCTACATTGCTCAATACTGTTTGTAAGTACAAAAACCAAGACTGAGACTTGCTGTCAACAGATGATTATCTGGGCCAAACTCTAAACCAAAAATCACAGTAGCAGCCCCAGAGTGTTGTTGGCCATGAGCCTTGAATGCTTTCACACTTGAGTGCTATCAAGCTACCCTGAGTAGTCCATCTGCTGCTAATATCAGGGGAGCTGATAGCAGGTGCCAACAACACAGGACAAGGATGTGCAATAAAGGCATGCTGCTTGAACTTCCCAAACTTGCCTTGCTCCTAATGTTACTTGAGCACACTCTACTCTGGGACATTTTCTTACTTCCCTTTGCTAATGTATCTCCTGTTCTTGCCTTTTGAGCTAGAAAAGTCTGAGACAGACTCTCTGAGGTTGTTGTTCAAGGATTTCTAGAGCTAGGCTGGATTACCTTCTGATGAAGCTACAAAAAGCACTGACATAAAGGTGGGACAGCAGACAGCCTATTGAAGCCAGCAGTTATACCACCAAACAAAGCTTCATGCAAAAGGCAGCAGTAGGAAACACCAAAAGACTTATTTGAATGAAAGCTCCGTCAGCCAAAGAGAAAAGGCTTTACTCCCACTAGAAAAGGCTTTCAAAACTAAGCTTTTGCATTCCATACTACATACGGTTTGAGGAAGATCTTGTAAGAACCACTGATGTGTTTCCCACTGTAACTTCTACTGTAGGGAGCACTTAGCCAGCTAAGCCAGAATTAACACGTTGCTTTACAAAAAGCACCTACAGTAGATACCATAGATTCATTTTTGCCTTGTTTGTAAAGGCATCTAATTTACCTACTAAATATTTTAATGTCAGCTTCTTACTGGAGAAAAAAGCAAAGCCCCGAAGAAGTATATTCTGGAGCACAGTAGAACATACGAGATGTTGGCAGGTCAGAAATAAACACATGCAGAAAGCTAGCAGGGTTATCTGACCAGAGTACTTGCAGAAATATACGGCCTATACTAATAGGCATTAAAGAGAGCCATGTAATAGAGAGAGCATGTTAAGGAGGACACATGAAAATCAAGTGAAATCTCAGGCATATGAAAAATGAAATTCCTCTGGGAAAATATTCCTTCTGTCCTGTTTCTGTTGCCCTGCCACTCCCAAGGACGTCCCCAAGACCAGTGGGCATATACAAAGCAGATAAGGTTCTCATAGCATGTTCCACCCATGTGAGGCAGAAGAATGCTGTCCACAGAAGAGTGATTCTCCACATAGCTGATTGCTAGTCGAATCCCTCCATGGAAATCTGAGCCTTTTCTCTGTTCCTCCTTCATGTCTGCTTTTGCTAATATCCTTCCTTCCTCTCCCCCTTATCCAGAGCTGAACTCTTGCAACTCTTGCCCTGAAAGAATGAATGTATCTCTCTTTTGGTTTGAAACCAAGGTAGAAATTACACCGCGTGGCTGGGGCTGGGATGTGGGTTGATAGGAGGGGTGGAGACAGTGTTTATTGCCTAGGCACTAAGGCTTATTGATATTTCTTCTGGGAGATATCTTCCACAGCCCTATCTTATGCAGCACAGCTTATGGCAGCAAGAGTGCTCAGTTACTTGTTTTGATACAGGGGCTCTATTTTTATAAGGTATCTTTATTGGGTTTTTACTGAAAGCATCTTGATGGGCAAATTCATTCTTTGTGATTTTGCTTTAGGATTGAATTTCTGTAGAACTTCCTCTTTTACTGCAACTTTACTCCTGCCCTTAAGCCTCTGGCCAGATCAACTCATGGTTCTATGCATAGTCCTGCCAGTGCCTCTCACTTCGCTGTGAATTAAGGGAAGAATTTTAGCACTTTATTATCTTACAGTTTTCTTTCTGTTCC